GCTGCAGCGTCAGCCCCCAATCGAAAACAAATTGAACCTTTTTTTCCCACTTTCCCCCCGTCAGCCTTTGGATTCAGGGTCGAACCATCCTCCCCTTTTCGCCCTTCTTCTCCCTCGTCCCCGTCTCCCTCCCATCTCATTCTCGCGACCACGATGTTGACTCAAATGTCAATCACGTTCCCCTTCACAGGTATCTCTAACAAGTCATCAAGAAAAAGAGACATCTACCGGCAATGCCAGGAACAAGGTAGCCTTTGTGCCTGGAAGTACCAAAAAAAGCCAACAACATGGTAAAGGTAATTAGGGGACTTGGAACATGGGCATCCATGATCCATCCTAACAGAAATTGGTAGTGCATCGCACCCTCGGCCATGTACCTAATCAGCAAACTCGACCCCAATTCCATCACGCATGGAGATTCTCCCGCATCTCCGGCGAACGAAAACCTGTGACCGTTACGAGCTCCTATTGATTTTTCCTTCCGCTTATCAAGTTTTCTCTGAATATCTGGGTAAGGTAGCAAGCATCTATTGAAAATGTGATTAGGATATCTTCAGGACTTTGAACAGCAGAAACCTGATCACGTAAGATACCTAGACTCCCACCCAACAACGCCGACCCCGTCTTTGCTTACCTCATCCCACCAGATCCCCAGATACATGATTGGCTGCCCCTTGCTCCAGAAGCACCCAGCTCCGATCTAGCCGTTGTATCCGAGTCAGAGCTCCCGTGCGATTTGGATCACGTGCAAGCTTCGCCTTTCATTCATCTTGCTCTCCAACTCCTACTCTGTGATTCGCGAGCTTTTGCAGCCTCGTATGCCATACCCCTGGGGCATGTCTTGACCTTTTTCCCTCTAGTGTCACCGTAATCCAGCCACGGTCATAGTATCTCTGACGTAGAATCTGGGGAAAATAATAATCAGAAAATTAATTTGACGCGTAAATAGCAGTCTACTTGATTCAAGGCATCCACAATCGCCAGTTCATCTCTCTCCTATAGCCTTGCATTGTCGACCACAGTGTGGAACACATCACAATCGTCTCAAGATCAAATGCTTCTTAAGTTGCTCAAATCAATGGCTCATGGCCTCTATTGTCCTCGTCATCTACACAAAGACGATGGAAAACAAGAAAAAAAAAAGTTCGCAGCTGCAGATATCTATCTATCCCATGCCGTGCCAGCAGCCGCCCTGATGGATGCTGATGATGTCTTCCCCCGATGCCGTCCCATGCCCGCTTCAATCTCTTTTCCCACCGTTTCCGCCGTCTCGAGAGAGGGAACGAGGGGGGTATAGGTTGTCCGTTTCCCTCATTTCCGCAGCAGCCCATCCGGCTTGGTCGTGACGGTCATGGCGGCACTTTTTTTTCATAAAAGTCATGAACAAACACTTTTTTGTTCTATTTTCCTCCCGGGGAGAAAGAAACCATACGCTGAAGAGGGAGATGCATCCGAAACCAAATATGTCTCGCCACCGAAACTGTTTTAGACAGCGCCGGCAGAAACCATCTTCTTGCGAAGGTAGTTCTTGTACGCTCCGATGGAGTCGCCCCAAGGCTTGATGGTCCGGTCCTCGCACACGAGAATCTGCTTGGCAATCTTGTCAAGAAGTCTATGGAAGAGTTAGTATCGAGAACATCTAAATACACAAGCAGAGGGTGGATTCTTACCTGAAGTCGTGGGAGACGACGATAACACCACCGGAGAAGGCGTTGATGGCCTCGGCCAGGGAGTCAATGGTGGGAATATCCAGACCGTTGGTAGGCTCGTCGAGCAACAGCATGTTGGGGGACTCGATGGCAAGCAGAGCGAAGACGATACGGGACTTCTGTCCGTCGGACAGGGTGCCGATTAGGGAGGTCTGGGCCTCACCGGTCAGACCGTAGCGGCCGAGTTGCTGGCGCCAGTACTGGTAGTCCTGGGACTTCTCTGCGTACTTCTCACGGACGAAGTCCAGGGCGGACTTGGTCAAGTCGAGCTGCTCGGCGCTGTGCTGGGAGTACAGACCAAGCTTCAAGTGGGTGTGGCGGGTGACGGAACCGGCGGTGGGGGAGAGCTTGCCGGTCATCAGGCGCAGCAGAGTAGACTTGCCAACACCGTTGGGTCCGACAAGCGCGGTACGGGAGTCCATGTCGAAACCTAGGTCAATGTTACGGTACAAGTCGTCCTTGGGGTCGCCAGAGTAAGAGAAGGTAACGTCGTCGAAAGACAGAACGGGAGGGGGTAGCTTCTCGACGTCGGCGAAACGGAAGGTGAAGACTTTATCGGGGATGACGGGCTGGATAAAACCGTCGGCCTCCATCTTGTCGAGAATCTTCTGACGGGACTTTGCCTGTCTGACCAAGTTGGCGTAGGTACCGGCGCTGGCAATGAACTTCTTGATGTGCACAATTTCGTCCTGTTGCTTCTGGTAGGCCTTCATCTGGTTCGTCTCCTGCTCGGTACGGGTTCTGTCGTAGATGTCGTAGTTACCTCCGTAGTAGAGGAGCTGCTTGCCACGCATGTCGATCATGGTGGTGCAGACACCGTTAAGGAAATCCATGGAGTGGGAAACGAGGACCAAGGTACGATCCCACTTCTTCAGGTACTCCTCAAGCCACACACAGGCCTCGAGATCCAAATGGGCAGTAGGGTCGTCGAGCAACAGCAGCGAGGGCTTGACGAACAGAGCCTTCGCAAGGGCGACACGCATTCTCCAGCCACCAGACATGTCCTTTGTCTTCTTGTGGATGGTAACCTTGTTGAAACCCAGACCGGTCAAGATAAGGGAGGCGCGGGTAGAGAAGGTAGAGGGGTCCATCTTCTCCATGTGCTACGAAGGCTGTTAGATCATGATCGGTTTCTAGAGGTCTTGGCCTAGGCTTTCAGGTCTAGGCAAGCAAGGGAAGCGGAAGCGGAAGCGGAACATACCTCGTACAGGTCCATGAGGACAGGTGACTCGGGACCCTCGTCCTCGAGAATCTTCTCGGCCAACTTGTCGAGACGCTCCATCTCGCGCTCGGCCTCAGTAACGACCCATTCAAGGGCACCGAGCTCGGTGGGAGGAGCACCCTCGTTCAAGAGGTAGATATCGACGTGCTCGGGAATGGGGAACTCGCGGGCGGCAATGGCCTTGAGAAGGGTGGACTTTCCGCAACCGTTCTCTCCCAAGAGACCGTATCGGCGTCCATAGGTCAGCTCGAGGGTGGTGTCGTTGAAGAGGACGCGGCCGTGGAAGACGAGGGAGGCACTGGTGATCTTGACGTCTCTGCTAGCCTGGGTGGATGCCAGAACACCGGTGGTGACACGGTCGGAAATGCCGTGCTTGTCCATCTGGTCGGCGAGGCGCTTGATCTCTTCCGAGTCATTGTTGGCAGCGATTTCATCGCCGTTGACCGATGAGGCAGTCGTGCTGACATTCTTAGAGCCCTTCTTCTTATCGAGCTTGCCCTCAGCGGCCTTCTTGGCGAGTCTCTTCTCCTTGGATGAGGAAACCATGATGACGGTGGTTTGTGGTTGATGGCGGGGTTATTTTTTTTTCCTCTAAGCGATGGCGGGGAACCTGTGGTCGCCCAAAAAGAAGACGGAGAAAAAAAGGAGGGGGGAAAAGGATACGAAGAAGACCTTTTCGTGTTTCCTAGTGATGCGTCGACGACCGTAAAAGTGTCACGCAGGTATCAAGTCGGCGATGAAGTCGACTGGGAGAGAGAGAGGAGAATTGGGAGGATGAGGCGTGTAGGAGAAAAGAAAAAATTCAAAGGTTGACGTCTGGTGGCAGGGTGACCACACACACAGAGAAAGAGACAAAGAGCGGCGGTGCGAAACACACACCCACCACCCCTCCCAGGCTGGAGAAAGGATGATTTTGGGTGGGGAGGGGCAACTGGACACACTTCACAGGCTCACACACAGCGCAGCGCTGAGAGCGGACAGCCCGCTCCATGCTGCGGCCAGGTTCCATGTTCGCAGAGTTGGTACCTTAGGTAGTGGGGCAAACGACCTCAAATTTTTGAAAAAAGCTGATAAGCGATAGGGTAGCGAGGCGATAAGGCACCAACAAATGCAACATACATCTCCCGTGCACCGTGCTCTCTGCTCTTGCCCACCTCAGGAAACAGGTGTGATGCAAGCACGAGTAAGCGGTACGTACCCCGACCGCCTTCTCCGTTTGACTCTCGGACAGTGACTCTTGCGGCAAGAAGGAGGACCTTTTCGTCCTGCCTTCCTCATGGTCTTAAAGTGCCGGGTATCTTTCCTTGCCATTTCACGCAGGTGCTATATTGGCATGTTAAGGTAGTTCTTGGTGCCTTACCTAATAGAGTCTTGGTCACTCACTTGCAGTTCGAGGCCACCTTTCACGCGGTGTTTCCTGGGACTATTCTTACACGGTTCACGAATAATTGGGCACCTATCCCCTCTCATCTATTTCTTATCTAATCGTAATCGTTCCCTGGAACTGAGGGTGGAAATGGGAAAGCTCAGCTGTCCCGCCCAAGACCCTCAAAGACCCTCAAAAAGAGACCCTCCTCAAGGCTCAGAGACCCAGCCTGACGCCACTGTGCAGCAACACGGAGCCGCGGGGCTTGACGTCACGCGTCACGTGCTAATCCGCCTGACTTGATTGGCAGGGCCGAAACACGAGGCTGCTAACACCGAACCGGCTGGCCAAGGGCAGGAAGGAGCTGTTTATGATGTTTTGATGCTTTTTATTATTGTTCATTATTTGCTGCTAAACGATTGCCATACGTACTCCATATATCCCTGGGTATCAATCCAGCTGTTGTTAAAATCAAATGACGCTTGTGTCTGCGATGATCCTGCGGAGGATCCAGTGTTCCTTCTATCAATCCTTTCCGTTATACTTACTTTAGGTAAAGTAATGTGAATAGTGCCTCTTGAGAATCCATTCTTGATGGGTTCGAGAAATTACTCAAGTCTGTGAATCAGACTCGGAGCCTCTGTCTTATTTCAGAGAGCTAACGTTGCGGCTTGTGTATGTGTTTGTAAATGGCCGGTCCTCTTCAAAACCTCGCCTGTCGACTACTATAGTCTCGAGCAACAGTAACCGTCCCGTCTGCTCCGGGCACGAAGCGAACATAGTGGTTCGCAAAATAAGATAGAAGCAGCTTCCGAGGCGAGAACATCTCCCATGGCGTTGATGGCGGCACGGGCACCATCTCGCACAGCTCGCCCCTCGGGATGAAGACGACGTCAGAGTAATGCCGTCGCACATTGTCGACCTCGACAATGGCAAATATAAAGAGCGCAAAGTGGATCATCCTGCGAGTCTGTTGTTAGCCGCCATTCTCAAACTCAAAAAGGGGGGCCATATCTCCAGGCTCAAGCCAGAGAGGCGACAAATGGGAAAGACATACGTCAAGACAAACATGAAGAAAATTACCGCCGCCATGGTATGCGTCTGCCGCGGATCAACACCACCCAAGGACCCGCCCCCGTTTTGATAAAACAACCAACTCGAAATCACAATCCCCATAAACGCCGCCGTCGGCACCCAAATCAGCAAATGCGCAGCCACGTGGGCGCCCGGCTTCCCCCAACTGAACTTTGTACTCCGCGGCAGCTTCGTCGGATCGTTCTTCGTCCACCGGAACCCGCGATCGCGCACCAGCATCGTACCTACATCGCCCGCGCTCCACAGCAGCGCCAGAACCGCCGTGGGACACCCGAAAGACCAGTTGTCGGTGATGAAGGCGTCGTCTTCCTTTTGCGAGGCGAGCGAGGCGAGGATGATGACGGCGTCGAGCATGGAGGCGAGGCGGAGGAGGAGGGTGGTGCGGTACATTGATCGGTTGTAGGGGATCGCAGTGAGGAAGTCGCCGTGGCGTTGGCCTGTGTCGGGCGGCAGGGTCGTGATGTCTGGGTGGAGCGGCGTGTTGTCCATTTTGATAGAGTATTTTCGGAGGCGGAGAGGTAGGTCTGCATCGCTGGTGATCGTCTAGGTCCTCCCCTTGGCCCCTTGGCGAGGGGAGGGGGTGTGTTTCCTTTCGTCTCTTCGGAGCCCGCGGGATGGGCGATTCTTTGGGGGATGATCGCGTGGTTTATGATGGCGTTGCCATTGAGGCTGTGGGTGATGCTCGAAGGTGAGTGTGTCGGAGGAGTGTCGTCTAGATGGCGAACAGAAGAAATCTCGAATGGCGCTCGGCTTGTTGTTCTGCGTTAGAGGGGCTGGGTTACGCGGCGAGGTCGGCAGTGAGGAGAATGAGTGTCGGCGGCGGCATGTTCAGGTCGCATGCGTTTTGGACCGGGGATGGAAATCGAACGGCGGACGACAAGCAACTCGGGGGCCGATGGGCCAAGGGGGAGGAGCCAAACGTTCGAACCCTGGCAAAAGATCAGAGGGCACCAACAGGGGGGCTACAGTACGTACCTTAGTACACTAGGTACCTTGCCATGATCCTTCCTACCTCACACTACAGCGCACTACAGGGGGCACTCGTTCCCCAAAGTCCATCCATCTGTGGTACCGTAGCCAGTCAGATCTCTGTATTGTGGGCTCTCAGTGGGTCTGAGGCTCGTGTCGCTGGTCCTGGGTAGGGCCTGTCACGGCGCGACGAGCCCCTGACAGCCTGAGTATTGGCGACGAGCTAGTGCTGCGCCCTGCTTTGCGCTCAAGGGCTGGCACTTTTGATCGACGCCATCTGAGTTGAAATGCCCGAGGATTTGGGACTGGAGTGAATTGATTTCAATCCTAAGCTACGTAGTATTCACATGATTGAGATTGATGATCTTGCGACTGCAAGATGACTTGGAGACGATATTGAATGAAAAGGATGAATCAGAAGAATATCATGAGATGCTCATTCCTAAATGAGACTGTTCTACGCAGCCATGAGATACCCCCAAACGCCGTCCCACCTATCATGAAAATGCTACACATGAAATGAGTGAGAAATACACTCAAATGAGGTATCCCAAAGTAAGGTATACAGATGCCACGGCAGACGATTAGATAGACCTCGTCCTGCCGGCACTCCCACCCCTCGAAGACTCCCCCATCACCACCGGCATCTGCGTCATATTCACCCTATACTTCCCCTCCCTCGCGCTCGCATCAGCCGGTGTCATACCAGTCACGCTCGTAGCAAACTTGAAATCCACATCCCCCGGCAAAATAAGCTGAGGCTGCGCGTCACCCCGTCTCATCCGCTCCAGCTCCTCCGCAGAAGGCTCATAATCCGCCGGCGGGGGCCGCATATTAGGCCGGAGATGCCGGTCCCGACTATCACCGCCCGCCGGAATCGTCCGCGATGGGAAACCTGCGCCCGGTAAAGGTTTCCGTTTGATAGATGACGCCGAAGACGGGGACTGATCGCCGGGCCGGTCGGGTAATGGCGGAGGCATCTCTTCTTGGAGTTGGGCAAAGTGGTGCCGTAGGGAATTGTTGAGCGGGCTCTGCGGTGAGCGCGGGAAGGATTGGGCGCGCGTGGATTGGGATTTCCAGGTAGGTAGTTTTGGAAAGGGTTTGGCGACGACGTAGACTGTTTGGCCTGTTTCTGGGATGTACATCACACGCGGTCTGCGCCGGCGGATCTCGCGGCTGCGTTCTATACAGGCGCGGATGAAGAGTGCCATGTGGATTGTTCTAGAGGAAGTGTGAGTATGGCGAGGGAAGGGCGAGAGAAAGGTGTGCTCACGCGCTGAGAAGCATAAAGATACACTCTACGAGAGCAAGGTTTAGCGGGTTGTTTCCTATCTGGTCATCCTCTTGGATGCCAAGCTGGAAAGCCAGCCAGCCTCCGCCAATGAAGCCTAGGATAGAGATGATGAGTTCCAGGCCAATATGAGCCTTTGGCGTGATGCCGCGTCCGTGGCGGGCGCAGATGGTGAGGAATTCCCCCAAATCCCACATGAACGATGGCAAAGCCTAAATTTCGTCTCATGATGAGCTTCCTGCTGTATGAGATGAGAGGGCAAGTGACAGAACTTACTCCTGGCAGACACAGCCAAGGCCAGACACTATAGTTATCCCAAGGCGGGTACCCATACCACGCCATCATGATTATGAGGATGATGGCGCATAGCAGCGTCCCAACCAGACGGGTCACGATCTTGCAGACTTCCCATCGTCGGTCGCCCTGGTTCATCCACCGCACGTTGGCCGGGTCGATGGAGGCCGTCGGCGACGTTGGCTTGACGCCGTCCCCGTCCGAGGCGAGGGACTCGAGCTGGTACGACTCGGGCGCACTCATCTTGCGTCTACCGTAGGACGAGCATGGATGAGATGTGTGTGTGCACGTCGCCTATCCTCCACCCTTTGCGTCGTCGTTGCTGGTGGTGTCGAATCGTCGTTGATCAATGAGTGAGGTGTAGTTCCACAGTTGACGTTCCCAGGTCCCGTGTCTCGGTTTGCCTTCCGTTCCGGGGCATCGGCAGCTCAACCACCCGCTGAATAACAGTAGAGACGTAGGAGAGAAGCGCTGAAGGAGAAAAAGAACAAGCTTCTTTGCGGTAAGGTTTGGCGTTCTTGTCCTGACTCGTCCCGTAACAAGGGGGGGGGCGTCAACGGCTGCGCCTCTTGTGGCACGTTCTCGGGTGATAATGCCGAGTCTGATGTGTCCAGTGAGCAGGCCAAGACTTGAAAAGGCGTTGGACGGAAGAAATGTGAAAGTAGGTCTGATGTTGGAATAAGACTCGGATCAGCCCTTGTCGCACCTCTCTTCCATCGTTTCAATGGAAAATTCCATCGTCTCCAGCAGTGGGAAAATTCCCCGGGGAAGGGAACGGCGCGGCATCATGCAGTTAATTAGCACTGACAGATTTAGGCAACCGTATTCTTGACGGCTCCACTCGCCTTTCGGGGGCCGACCGAATCCGTCCCTCCCTCTCTGCAACCGTCACCCATTGCTGAACGGCTCAACAAAGTTTAATACGCCATATTGGGGAACATTCGTTGACGTGAACGGAAAACGGCTCATGACCATTCTCCTGACTTTTGCGACGGAATGAATTGTAAGGTATCCTACACAAATTCCATGATGTGCAGGTCAGGAACACTCACTCACCCATACATCTCACTCAAGTGGTACTTACTTACACAGCTCAGTCATGATGGGGTAGGTAGGTAATCAACCACCTTCACCAACTGGTCCCCCCTGCCTCAAAGAAATGATGCAAATCGAAGCCGACTTGCTCTATAAAGCAAAAACATGCGATAGAACATCAAAATTGTAAAACAATTGGACACTGTGGGAATTGAACCCACGACCTTTCACAAAGGCGCGTTCCTATCGGAAGTGCGAAGCGAAAATCATACCCCTAGACCAAGCGCCCGATGCTGATGACAAAGAGGGTCTGAGGTTGGTTGAAGAAGCTCACGTGTCCCGTGCGCGCAAACCTTCGCCTCGAGTGCGCTCGAGTGCGTCCTCAAGGGTCCGGATGCTCGACAGGACGATGTTGAAAAGCGATGGTGTTATTTCTGGTCCAAATCGCGTAGGCAGAAAATTTTGCGGAATTGTTTGTCACAATGGGTGGCGTAGAGTCTCAGGGCATCGTCAACCTCCTTTCAGTTTGATAATCCCCTCGCAATTCTCATCAATCACACTGTTGGGGAACATTTTGGTATTCCATCGGCGCCGATTCTCAGGTCATTCAACAATAGTATTCATACAGAGATCATTAGTCATACGCTGTATCAAACACATCCTACGCCTGAACATCGCTCTTCAACTTCTCGTACACAGTCTCTCCCCCAACCTCAGTCTGTCGGGGCCCAGCATCCCTTCCAGCCTTAGTCTGGCTCTTCAGCAGCCCCTGCTCCGCCACACGGCCAGGGTCATTCTCGCTACCGACCTCGGCGTTGAAAGCAGCCTGCACTCCGTCCTTGGTATTCGCCGTGTCGAAGCCCTCGGTGATGTTCTTCCCGTGGGGCCCGTTGGGGTCGCGGACGTATTGGTTGTTCACATATGTCGGCGCTGCGGCGGCCTGATCGGGGTTCGATGCGGCGCTAGACCCGGGAGTACCGCCGGTGCCGGTTCGGGAAGAAGCGGCGGCGGTGTCGACGTTGCGGTTGGAGGCGAATTCGCCGCCTTTGTTGGCGGACTCGGCTGCGAGGGAGCCGGCGGGGACGGGACCCGTTGCTTCGGATCGAGTGGGACGGACGTCGGCGCCGGGCTCAACCTGTGGTTAGTGTTAGAGTTTGGATTTCCGAAAAAAGATTGTCCGAAACAGGCTTGCGTGACTCCAGGGATGTCAAGACATACCTTGGCGTCAGCACTCGGAGCTTTGTACTGAGCAGACATTTTGATAGGTGACTTGTGGCGGTTGTTTCGAGTAAAGATTCTAGGGGATGATGTTTCGCTGGGACAAAGCCGTCTTCAATGTTTTGAATGTAGCTGTGAGGGTTGATTGTCCTTCTATTTCTTCATCTCATCGAGGTTCCAAAGCTGCCATTTAAACATCTGTTGAGCGCATGACATCATGTTGAGCTCTTCTCACATCAACTCAAGCCGGAGATAAACCTCCTGTCAGATACGCCGCACCCACAGGGGGATGACTTCAGATCCCCACAACATCGCCCGCAAAATAACAGCATGTCGTGGGATGGCCACCAAAATTACATCATGCGGTCGCCTTATTCTCCTCTCGACTGCACGCATCGGTGATCGATATGACTGAGCGATAGAATGAGTCGTAATTATGACAGTTTTGAAACCTCGAATCGACGACTGCAAACTCATCGGAATACGGTTGATCAACTTGGGCCGATGCCTCGGTGGAGACCGGTGGACACACCGACGCAAGCTGGAGAACTTCAGTAAAGATGACGAACACTGCCCTTCCCGCGGCTATCAAGTGCCAGATCCATGATTAAATATCTAAAGTGTTCTATCGCATATCGCAATCTTCTTCAAATCTCATTGCAGCTGTTCTTTCTTACCAGTATGGGTATGTTTTCAAGTTCGGTCAAGTCAGAAATTGAGAGATAACCGTCGACTTGTTTTGCTTCTTAACAATAGTTACTGTGAAATCAGCTTTCTGCCCTTCTTCAAGACTCCTAGACATGACAAGGATAGTTGGCTGTCTGAAGACCTCCTTCCTTGCATAGAACATATGGCCATCCCTCTCAGATCTCTTATCAACGCCCAATTTGAAGAAGGGCTTTACGCCAATTCGGACCAGATTCACCAGAATATCATCAATTGCAAAGCGGATCACTCATGTTGCGTACCGAGAGGCTAGATCTTGGATCACAAATCCTGACTAATTCTTTTCCAAGTGCCCATACGGCGGTAAAAGCCTGGTCCGGGGAAGGAGGACTGCCCAAATCCCCCAGCGTTGACACAAATGCATCAACAAATATCACTATTGAGGCTGTATCAGGATTCTCGCTGATACTTCAAAGACAAAGGCTGCAGGAGAGCGGGGTGACGCACCGAATTGGGACAGCCGGCGGCTGGCACCAACACTGGACTTAGAAAGGCACAATCGCAAACCAACAAAACCATCTCAATGAGACAGGCCCTCAATGAGTGCCTCTGGCGCAGGCTGCAGGTCATGAGGCATGGCTTTAAGGGGTCTTGTTTCGTGTTATTCTCATAGAAGCCAACAGGCGTAATCCACTTTCTGCATGCAGCCGACCTTTTCTCATTACAGCTTGGATCTACGACACTGACGGCCCTTGGATACCCATGTCAATTGGCAGCGATATTCCCTTCTCAGTAGCAGGTAAAAGGAGGAGTGCGGTTCCCTCTGGCGTGAAGAAATATCGGATTCTCTAGGAAGTTTCTCCTTCTGGCAGTCGAAAACCGTGAAATAAGGGGGAATTAAGTGTGACTTGAATCACCCACCCTCAATATAGAATCCATGGATACCCCCCCGCGCAATACAATTGATATTCTCTCAAGGTAGTCTGTAAAGCCTAGGTACTGAAAATCATATTAGTACTGTCGTTGACATTCGCCAGACCCAACACTTTTTTGGCAAGCATTGTGGTTCTTCATCACGGAGATGGACCGTGTCAGGAATGGACTGCCCAACACCGCTCTAGAACTGACAGCGCTACCCTTCACATTCGCTATGGTTGCGACATTTTTTTGCTGGCACCCAAAGCCGGCGATTTCCTATCCTCGGTACATCGAAACCAAAGTTTAGGACGAGGGGTTGGTCACTTTGGACCGGAACAGAAGCTTCGCCAGATCTCATGTAAGTTTCCTAGATCTCTCCCAATGTCAATCAACAACCAGCTACTTACATCCTCGTAGACGCATGCACAGCTTCGAAATTCATGGCACCGTCCACCTCTCGACGACGTTCCCACGCGGATCTTTCGCATAGACGCATACTGTGCTTCTTCGAAAGGCTGGGCGACATGATGCATCTTTGTTCCAACGGGAGACCAACCAAACAGTAAATTTGCGACAGGTTTCCCTCCGAGCTGTGGCGACTTATTAACTAATGTACTACCGTCTTGGGGATGTCTTCATCGTTGCCTTCAAAGCTCCCTGCATGATCGGATGGCAATTTCAATTTCCTACGCCAACGGAGCAGCTCATTTGGAGGCTGGCTGTGTCGTACCACGTGTTCTTCTGTATGCACGGGGCCTTTCACTGGCTCTAGGAAGATCTGAAATGGCATCGTGCGCAGAAGCGCCTGCATGGCTTCGTCTAGGCGTGGAACAAGTCGTTGACGCGAATGCTGAAGTCCAGAGCTAGTCGCAAGAAGCCAGGACCTCGTCCGCTTGGACAAAGGATATTGTCTATCGATTAATGACATTGGTTTGTTCTTGAGTAAACAACTCTGCGGGAAAGAACCCAACCATGGCGGCGCCCTTGTTTGTGATTCTTCGTCCTGGGTTATATGTATCATGTCGATTCTACTTCCACGTGAAAGACACTGTCTTACTCTGGGAGTAGCCCAAAGGGATATACCTGACTGGTAAACAGTTTCTCCCATTGATTGAGGAGACGTGGTAGGACGGCAGTGCGACAACAAGTAGACATAATGATAACATGGCCATGGAAAGTTAAATTTTTGGTCTCACCGAGGCCATGTCGAGCCAAGTCACTACGCGAAAATGAATGAAGAGCACATCTAGTAGGCTCTGCCTCGGTGAAGAGGGTAGCTCACCGAGATGTCAAGGTGACCTATTCAGGCAACTCTAACAGTCCTTCACGGCCGGTAAACCCGGTGTGTCAAAGTGGGCGTTAGCGTCGCCGTCCGTGACCTGACAGACGCGCCGAAAATGGGGCAATTTTCCCCGTCATCCATTGAGAAAAGCGCCGAGTCCTTCCTTAGTGACGCAATGGGGTAATCTTGGCCCGTCACTCCACCAAAGCTCCAGTTCCCTCCACGATTGCCCCCTCGTGCCCCTCATCGCATTTCATGCTAAAGTGATCCAGCTCGACGATAGCTATATAAAGCTGTCAAGCTCACGACATTTTGTTTAAGTCTGTCGTACGAAGAAAGCTCACAGTTTCTCGGACTCATTATACAGTGTAATAAGAAATCACAAGAGACAAGATGGCAGCAGGCAAGACATTCAACGTTGGAATCATTGGATATGGGTAAGTGAGACCGTCTCTCAGTCCATGTCATCCTTGCTACAGACCCCCCTTGCATGCTTTCGGAATAGACTCACTCTCAGCGCGACTCACCGAAGACGCCCACGTGCTGACCGACCATCTACAGACTATCTGCCAAGGTTTTCCACATCCCTTTCATCAACCTCACACCTCAGTTCAAGTTGCACAGCATCGTCCAACGGAAGCCCACAGCCTCCTCCTCGGCACCAAATGACTACCCTGAGCTGAAGCACCACACCTCCCTGGAGCCCATGCTCCAGGACCCCGATGTTGACATTATCAACATCCTCACACCACCCAACACTCACTTCAGCTTCTCCAAGCAGGCCCTGCAGGCCGGCAAGCACGTTCTGGTCGAGAAGCCCTTCGTGCCCACCATCGAGGAGGCCGAGGAACTCGTTCAGATCGCTAGGGAGAATGAGCGCCTCATCTGCGTCTACCAGAACCGTCGCTGGGACAGTGACTTCCTCACGGTCAAGAAGATGATTGCCGATGGCGTCTTTGGTCGTGTCTACGAGTTCGACACCCACTTTGACCGCTTTCGCGCCGACCGCCCTACGTCATGGAAGGGCGAGCTGACCATGGCCGAAGGAGGCGGCGCCCTCTTCGACCTGGGATCCCACCTCATCGACCAGGCCTACAACCTCTTCGGCATGCCAGAGACCGTCTACGGCAAGCTCGTCAGCCAGCGCGACGGCAAGTTCGATCCCGAAGACCCCGACAGCGTGCACGCGCAGCTCTGCTACCCAGACGGCCTCATCGTCAGCGTACGCATCGGCGTCATGAGCGTCGAGACGAGCCAGCCTCGCTTCTGGGTACGCGGCACCAAGGCCAGCTACCACAAGACATGCCTCGACCCGCAGGAGGACCAGCTCAAGGCCGGCGCCAAGCCCACCGATCCTGGTTTCGGTGTCGAAGACCCCATGAATGGCGGGAGGTTGCTGCTGGTCAAGGAGGGCGGCCAGGTCGAGGAGCGCATGAAGCCGACGCACAAGCCGGAGACGTACCTCAAGCTCTTCGAGGGATTCGCCAAGGCTGTTGAGACTGGAAGGGAGGAGTACGTTCCTGTGCCGGCGAGAGAGGCGCGGGATGTCCTGCGTATTATCCACGCTGTTAAGGAGAGCGCAAAGTCGGGACGCGAGGTTCGGTTCTAAGACATTTGATAAACTCTGAGATGTCTCTACCGCATGGTCCGAGGTTAGCCGCCGTCGATGGTCTCGGGGAGCCGATGCGATGAGGCGGCCGGCGCGTAGCGTGCCGAGCCGACGGGAGAAAATTAGAGCCCGTTGACGCAATACTAGAAAGTACTAGTAAGTCACGTATAAGTTTGTCTATTTTGGAAGGGAGAGGGCTCTAGGTACTACTTACATGTAGCCAGTCTGTCTTATTATAGCGGTTGCGTCTTATAGTAATCGAAAACGTATTTCATGTCAGCTCGTTCCGGTATGCAGAAATGCCGTTTATGGAAGTTTAGTCTCAGAGACACCAGAGGCAAAGGTCTTGGAGATGCCCGCAACGGGGGACAAACACCGCCGATCTCCCGCAACGCGCGAAGCCAAGACTCGACGACACCCAAAGGTGATGGCGCCTGCTGGCAAAAAGAGAGTTCTGTCCATTCGCGTGAAAGATTTGATCTGGGATGAGGGAGAAGTTGCGCAGGAATCTGGTCGAGCTTGCACTTTGACCGGGCTGGGGATGTCTCAAGGCAGGATCTTGGCACACGATGATGGCGGCCCCTAGATTCCTTCTCGTCGTGATGACATCCGGTGAGCAGTCGGAAGGTGTGATCGAAACCCCGCATGACGGAAGGAAATGTCTCGAGGTTATATCAAGTTGAGGAAGAGCGGCGGAGTATAAAAGGTAGTTGCGATGGCCAGTGGTTCCGTCTATCCTGAGATATCATCAGCAAACTTGCACTCAGGACCATCACAATATCCCTAATTCATCTAACCAATACCTAATACATAATCTTTAAGATGCGCTTCAGCCTACTCACTCTCTTCTCTTACGTCGCCAGTGTCCTCGCTGGTCGATACATCGTCTTCCTTGCCCCGGTAAGACCCTCAGTCTGGACTGAGCTCCATCGTATACCGTCCTGATACTGACTACCGAAAACAGGCAACCAACATTGACCAGTTCGTCGACAAGCTTCGCACCCGAGACAGCGATCTCAGGGTCATCACGAAGTGGACCGGCACGACTGCCGGTCTTTATGGTGTTGTCATCGACTCAAACGTGTGGAATGTCTGGACTCTACGCAAGTTCCGCGAGGTCAGGCTGGCCGAAGAGGACAGGATTGTCACGCTTACCCCTCTGCCGACTGCAGGCTTGCCCGCGGAGCCAGAAGACACCCCATTCCCTCTTCCTGGCTGGAGCTGAACGGGTTAATCAAATCACGAGTCGGTGTGGAAAAACATTCTGCATCCGCGGATTAAGGAGACAACAGCAAGATTGGGACCCGGTACATCAACAATTTGTTGGTTTCTGGTTCGAATGAATCGGCCAAGGGGGCGGAGACCAATACGAAGGATTCAAAGTTTAAGTGGCTAGCTTTCGTGAACACCTTATGTTACTCAGTCAGGACGCAGAATGGGAACCGTTACCTAATTTGATCTCATGATGCTTCTGCCCGGTGGAATAGCTATGCTGCTCAGGGTTCTCCATAGTCCCATCTCTTGTCTGTACTACGTAGTGATCCGTACAGTATAATTGTTCATGTATTTCTTACCAGAGAGGCATGCAAAGCGCTCGAACGTCGTGATATCCATTTGGCGAGAAACTTCGTGTCCATTGCTTAAGACACACTGAAGATATTGAAGGCTTATATAAAAAATCCGACAAGCGTCTTTCGAACCTGGACTTCAAGCAACAGTGTCACACACTTGCTGATTGTGCATATCTAGGTTCCACAACTCCTAGTTGTCATTTTGAGGCAGACCCGGAGGCTGGGATGAGTTCACGTAATCACACTTGTGTAATGAAGTTTATAATATGGATTGCGGGAACTTACACATCCACCGCACTTGAACTCTTGCGGGAACACCTGCCTAAGTCCGGCTGTCCGCCAGCTTCCGTCAGTCTAGGTAAGGGCGTACACGACGCATTACGACTGAAATGTACGCCCCGAGTCTTGTGTCGCCCACAAGCCATCAATCTCTACTTGCACTAATACAAAATTTCGACGCTGCCCAAGAGGCTTCGTCCACACAGTTCTCGAACAGCTGGATAAGAGATGTGCTCGGGATGGAATTTTTGCAGCCGAAGCAGTTCCAACTGCTCTGTATTAATAATCAGTAGTGCGCGCGCCAGTGCCTGGATACGCGCGTACATGCACGGCAGATGAAACGCCCCCTGATGACTCGACGATGCCCCGACACCGGCGTATCCGGACCTCTGTCAAATGCCAACGGCCTTTTGTGGGTGAGGCTGCCGTTCAACCGGCTGGGCAAGTGGGGGACTCCTTGCCTTGTTTGACATGAACTGGAGTTCGGACTGAGTCGAAGTGTCGATCTTATCTATGCTTGACATCTAGCGAGGCTTTGCGAATTAAAGATTCGGGTTCGGTATGCCGGGTTATTGTGATTTGGGACGGGTGACGGCACGCCGCACGACATCCGTAACTTCAGAGACAAATGGAAGCCTTCGCCTAGCTTGTCATTTTCGTCTGAGCCTGCCATCGAATGATGGCTCTGTTCTAATGTCGGTAGATGAGTGGGTATCCAATAACCGTGGGTAAGGTGATCTGGACCCGGCTCTACTAGGTAGATCAAGTGAATGACTTGTGAAGTCACTTACTACCATGGACGCGGTAGGAACCACAACTCACCAATCTTGATTATGTCTAGTTTCGAGAATATTCACTGCCTCCTCCAATCGAGGCAGTACAAATACTCGATTTCCAGAACATTGACGAGTCTGACTTGGGGGTCCCTGACTCGCTCCATGGAGCCGCAAAGGTGACTGAGTATTCGAGGCTCGGGTAGGAGGAGGTTCCGCCGCCACGATTCGTGCTATGGCCATATGTGCAGATGAAGTGGGCGCACAGGCCGACGGATACAGGGACACCGGCACTTAGCCTAAAGTCTAATAGAGATATCACATCGGCCGAGAGACTGAATGAACCACGATGAACCACTGATTGATACGGTGTAACCGTTGTACAAGCTAAGTCGGGTATGCCCGTCTTGTCAAATTCCTTCGAGTAAGTGTTGTTAGTCCAATAATAGCAATCGTAAACGCATCTATAAGAGATGATTGTTACCCAGATTCTTTGCAGCTCGTGAACAGAGGATCAACAGATTCGTTCAGTACACTCTTTGGCTTGTAGAACCCATCACACTCTTTCGTTACATTCGTTACTTACACTCTTTCCAAAATGCCTTCGCTTTTCTCCGTGGTTCTTGCCAGCCTGATGGCCTCTCCTATCCTGGCCGCCATCTCTTCCCCCAACTATGTCCCCTTCGAACTGGAGAAGCGCGACTGCGGCTTCAGCTACTGCGATTGCCAGCGCGTCCAGTGCAGACTTGACTTTTGCTTCGACGACCATGTTGATCCCTGGATTCTGGTCGACAGTGCCAGTAAGTCTTCAACATGCTCAATATTCGACCTTTCTTCCTTGAACGAGTCGCTGACCTTCCCGTCTCATAGTGAACGGCTACTACGGGGTTGACTGCGGCCAATTCGACAACTGGGCGCGCAACGAGCCCGCCGAGTACTGCAACAACGGCCTCCGCAAGGGCAATGCTCTCTTCTACATCAACCGCAAGTTTGGATCCCTCGGAAAATCCTTCACCGTCAACTACAAGAACACCAACGCGGCGGACCCCCACCGTGGCTCTGTTTCTGGCAGCTGCTACCCTGTCCAGGACGTTCAGTGCAAATGCCATTCCAGATACAACGCTGAGAAGCACGACTGCTCAAACAGCTGCAGTGACTAGATAAACACTTCACAGGAAATGATGTAACATAACTTGGGGAACCTGCTGTATGGCTTGTTCGACTAAGTGGGTGCGCTTGAGATTTCGGATGTGTGCTGCAAATGATACCACAAACACATAGAACTAGAGGATCCAAATCCATGACAATGAACGGCCGATTGGCCAATTCATCCAACAAAAGAAATGATCTTGAGTGATACCTACGAACTGTCTTCGCATGACCAGCATCGTGTTCCCAGATTCCTATCACAGTTCAAATCGACAACGCTCTTCTGCGGATATGGGCACAATATGCGGTCTTGAAGGTTTCCGCCCGGAAATGTAACCCTGACTAGTGTATGGTCCGGTGCTGTGCCATTCTCGACCCATGCACGGAGTTGACCAAATAGACTAGTTGGCTCTCCGCTCCTCCCTCCACCGCAATGGCCCATGCCGGGTACCTCGAAGTGGCGGTAGAAGTCATGAACTCCCGGGATGAGATCAGATACTCTGTTGTAGTACTTGGTACTCCCCTTTGGAGGGAGAAGCTCGTCAATCTGTGGGAATGTCAACCCTTTTCACTGCCCAGAGGTGGATAAGGGGTTGACTTACGAGGCCGTGAAAAGTAATCAGCTTTCCTCCGCCATCACGAAAAGCAGAGAGGTCAGGGTCATCAGTGCCAATAATCGAGTTGTACCTTTGCCGCCCCTGGTGTGCCATCCAGTCAAACTCAGCTTGACTGACGTGAGAAAGATCAAAATTTGGATCCCTTGCGACAAATAACGAAAGCCATTGCGTAGCAATGGGCAATGGCACACCTCTGCAAGACCCTGTAGAGCAGTTGGTGGCAGCGACGCCGACAGCCAGATCAGTACCGGGGTTTAGTCCTGGCCACAGCTGTACGCCTTGGGAGTTGCGCATCCCCTGCCACGTAGCATTGACTACAGCTGCTGCTGCACGACTAACTTCAGGTGTCTCAGAGCAGTTGATTGCTCGACCGACCATCTTGAAAGGATTGAATGCATCAAGGCACGCATCGACTTCACTAATGATCCCGTCTTTGACACCGTCTAATCCATCACAAGCAGACACTGCCGCGGCCGTGATCGCCGCGAGTTCACATGCATGAGGGTACTCCCCGATCATATTCATGTACTGCTGAGGCCAGAGCATGCTCGGGAAGAAATCGGTCCATTGAATTCCTGGAGCACCGGCCGCGATGCCATCATACTGAGTAGGATACCGCTGTGCTAGCATGAGTCCTTGTCGGCCTCCTTGAGAACAGCCATTCCAGTAGGAATAGTCTGGTCCGCGACCGTAGTAGGACCTGATGAGAGACTTTCCAATGATTGCCTGCATGCTTCAAGATTAGAAGAGTCAGTTACGCCAAGGCGGTCTATCGACTTACGCCGTCATTGAGTGACACAGACGCAAGGTTCTGCAGATTGTAGAAATTGACGTTTCCGGGGCTGAGAAGTGCCCAAGGACTCGCGTCCAAAGCGTTTCCCAACCCAGCGTCGGTCGTGGTCGTCGCATAGCCGTCAGCTACTGCTCCACCCATGGCGCTGTAAAACGGTTCACTGCGGCCTGCAACCCAACCGCCGCCTCCGACAGCCTGAAGGCGACCATTCCATCCTTCTGCGGGAAGCCACGCCTCGAAATTGACGACATCACCTTGACCCGGGTGGGTGTAGGTTACCGTGATGTTGCAAAAGCTCCCGTTCTGCACTTCGACTGACGGCTGGGTGAAGCGAACAGCAGAAGGAACAGTGATGGTGTAGTTGGTGACAAGATTTGTCTGCAAAGACAGAATCTCCGCCCCATACAGTGAGATATTCTCAAACGTTGCGGGGGCGCAAGAAAATGCTGACATTTCGACTGGAGATAGTTTTAATAATAGATAGAGCGACGAGGAAGGACACGGCGATGCGAATCGCAGCACATCAAGAAAGTCACTCTTTTTAAAGTGCAGCTTACTTACACAAACGTTGTACCCAGTTTCTTCCCCGTATTAAGGAATATGACGAAGTAATTCGGGTAGGATCGTTAAACCTCCCAAAGCTGCCAAGCGCGAGGATGTTGAGCTGATTTGCGCACATTAATCAAGACTTCATTCAGCCATTCAACGCAGCTGTCATATCAGGAGCGGCTAATTAGACTCCTGCAAAACACCCATTGTCACCTAATTCCCTTGATGTTTTCAAACAGGATCCGAATCCTAGTCTCAAGCGCTCAAATGACTTCAAATTTGGTGTGGTAGAGAAAGGCTTTAGATTTCGGTGCTCGATGATTTTCGCCTTGACGGGCAGTTAACCCAAGCACAATAAGAGTTATTAAGTGCATGAGAGGTGAGGTCAAGTGACAACATTCAATTACGTCCAATGACTGCCACCGCTGATGTGCAGTGCATGTAGGTATTCAAGCAATGAAATGAGTCCTATACCAGCATTTTTCAAGCTCAACCAGATTCGGGCGTATAAGCCCCAGCAGATAATGGGAAGCCTTTTAACCTTGAGCTGCTCATATCTACGTTGTATAATTACCTACTTGCTCGAAGAGTGACAAATGTAGATCGAAACATACGTTCTTCTACAATTCATGGACTACGGTCTGCTTCGGACTTATTATCAAATACCAACGGCATGCAGCCCGCCAACCTCAAACAAGAAAAAAGAAAAGAGGACTTTGGACTGAGCAATTTGAGCAGGCGAGGCCGGTCTCGGACCAACTTGTCATGCGAGCACTTGCATCTCGGAGAAGCTCATAAAACGACGGACTTACGAGAAACGCAGGGCTTACCTTCCGAAGTCCATCAATGCTGACAGGAAGAAGTGAGATCAGAGACACCAATCAGGCGCTGCTCTCGTATCGCCTCGCTTATTTATGTCGTGGTTTCGCTGCTAGGTGCGCTTGGCTGGGTGCTAGTGGACGCCACAGCGGAACAGCGGAAGTAGTGGCATGACTTTCAGCCCTCAAGGTTTCAAGAGTTTAGGTGCCCGCATTCCATACCACGAGAATCGCCAAAGCCAAAATAACTAGATATGGCGCGTGGTTCCCTGGTGATTCCCGGCTTGAGACATCCTGTGTATTTTGAATGACTTCAATTGTGTCACAATGGACGTTTCAAGGAACAAAGTCGCAGTGATCGGACTCGGTAAGTGTAGTAAACCTGTCGATGAAACGAGTTGATTATTCTGACGTAGAGTAGGTGCCTTTGGTATCGTGGCTCTGAAGAATCTTGCCGAAGAGGGTTTCGAAGTGACCGGATTTGAGCGCAACCCCTATGTTGGTGGTCTTTGGAAGTTTACTCGAGAGGACAAGACTTCTGTGCTGCCTAGTGAGTAGCACGATGCTCCACCTGCCATTGCATTTGGATCATTGTTGACTTACGTACTACAGCAACTGTCGTTAACATTTCAAAAGAAAGAGTAAGATTTCTCTCTCTAAAATGTGCAGACGAGAGACTTGGTACTTGAAGTAGTCAATGCGACTGACACTTCATCAGGGGTGTTTCACAGACTTCCCGTTTCCTGATGGTAAGTCTTTCAATTGGACTAAAAGCTAGCACTCTCACAAATCGAAGCGACGACCAGTCAACCTTCGGCCGAAGAGGTGGCGCAGTATCTGGAGGACTATGTCGATCACTTCAAGCTGCGATCAATGATGCGTCTCAACACAGTTGTCACTCATGTATCGCATGATGATACTCTCAACAAATGGATTATTGAAATTTCTGATTCGCCAAACGAAATGTTCGACAGGGTCATCATCGCGACAGGAATGAACCAAACACCGAACTATCCGAATGTCAAAGGGATTGAGCAGTTCAAGGGCGAAACGCTCCACTCCAAATCTTACAAAAGGTCAACCACACTATTTCAGTCTGGTCTTTCCTTTGCTAATGCGCAGTTTAGCCCAGAGAACTTCGCAGGGAAGAAAGTGTTGGTCTTCGGCTTGGGAAACACCGGCGCTGACACTGCAACATCACTTGTGGGCCATGCAAGCGAGATCTATGTTTCTCATCGAGAAGGCGCTCTCATCGTAAGTCATGGACCCCAATCTATCGAAAACCAGGTCTAATCTGCCAAAAGCTTCCTCGAACCAACGAAGGCCGTCCGATTGACCACACACTTAATATTCGCTTGATCACTTTCCAAAGGCTCCTCGAGCGGTTCTTCCCTAATTTATCTGAACGCCTTTTCAATGGATTTGTTAAAAAGCTGCAGGATTCTGCATTCAAAATCCGTCCTGAGTGGAATCTCTCACCAGCACCTTCGATCAAAACTAGCACCCCAGTCGTCTCAGACGAGATCGTCCCAGCGCTTGAGAGTGGCAAAGTCCACTCTGTCCTAGGTGTCAGCTGCGTAACCGGGCCGAATGAAGTTGAGTTGATTGATGGAAGGAGTTTGAATGTAGATGCTATCATCTACTGCACTGGATACAAACCCAGCTTTAGTCTGTTGGATTACGAAGCTGATCCAACGGCTGTTACCACCCCGAAGTGGACTGCGTCCCAGGGGTCTAGGGGCAAACCGCTGCCTCGTCTGTATCAGAATGTTCTGTCTCTCAAGTACCCGGACTCACTCGCATTCATGGGGTGCGTGGCATTTGCAACGGGGGCATTCGTTCTATATGACCTGGCATCCATGGCTGTCGTGCAAATTTGGAAGGGGAACTCGGATCTTCCACCTCAGCACGAGATGGAGCGGGCGGTTGACGAGCACCATGATTGGCTGTGTAACCTTGCAAAGAAAAGTAATGTTCACCCGCAGCTTGTAAATGGCCATTCTTGGTCAGCATGGGCGGACAAGATGGCTGGAACTGGGATTGACGAATATCTGGGGTGGGGTTGGAAGGGATGGCGTTACTGGCTCAAGGACCGATCTTTCTGTAACCTTCTCATGGGTGGTATCTACAGTCCACACATCTACCGTTACTTCGATGGCAAGAGAACTCGGTGGGTTCGAGCGAGGGAAGAGATTGAGAAGGTGAACTACACCACTTTCAAGAACCGACTCAAAACCGAATAGCACCCAAAAAGATTTGAGGTATTGGCGCTCCTATGAATCTCTAACGAAGTACCCATAGCTCCGCAAGTAGATGAACTCGGGTTTGTTGATCCCGGGGAAGATCACCATAGGGGAGCTGCCCACGAAAGTAGTCCTTGAGGCTCCAAGTTGAGTCGACATTAGTACATTACTACTACTATGTTCGAAGGCGACTTCAATCAAAGCCCATACTATATCGAGTCCCGACCCGGCAAGGTCATTCGGCGTTGTACTAAGTACCACCAGGCTATCGAACAAGCGAGTTGAGATGACTTGAGCGACGGCTTGGGTTTGGATTGAAATTTTCAGGTGGGATGCCAGCCTATCACGTCCATCTTTGCCCAGCACGATTTTTTCAGTATTCGTCAACGCCTTGCTTCGACCACATAAACGCACTTGACGGCATTTGAGTCGACGTTGATAATGTATAAGACCTGGCCATTAAGATCAATTCGATCTTTCTTTCGGAAGAACACCAAGAATTCTCATGACGTAAATCAGTTTCTCTTCCTAAAAAACGCATAACAAACAATTCATTTGCTCCGACATACAGCAAATCCCCTGAAGAGAAAGAGCAAGAGACCATTCAATTACTCAAAAATCATATGATGATGCCGCTCCAATTCTCGCCATGTCCCGGAAACTTGATATCTTCTCGCGCTCTAGAAAACGCAGCCCTGAAGCAGCCCGCAACAGGCCTAAAGCTTAATGTGAGAAAAAGTCGACAAGAAACTCGGAAAATTGAGAAAACAATTGATGAAAGCGAACTTAACGTACAAGATGCCACACTGCGCTATTGGTGGTGGGGATTCAATTTTGCCGTTATAGCCAAGGTGCTCAGGCACAAGAGACGGCTGAGAGTCACCATTAAGCAGATTCGCCTTGGATTGAACCTCACGCAAGAGGGTTTCATCACGTGGGCCTGGTTTCTCTCTTATCTGACAAGAAGTATCGTCGGTGGATGGTACGACATTCGGTTGCCATTCATCGTGTGCCATTTTTCGCCGGTATTCTTCTGATTCCTGTACCTCATCCTTGGAGTAGATTCGGCGGTCGTCATTTGAGTCGATCTCCAGTGACTGAACCTCGGAGCTCTCGCTCGTATCTTCGCTTGGTTGGCAGTACTCGAGGAGCTCGAGCTCAGCAGCCCGAAGATAGTAGGCCAAAAGAAGCGGGGTGCCTCCGGGGTGTATATCGCATGGCTTGTCGACCGGAACAGGCCAGTCTTCGACGAGATGACCAGGCGTATCATGGTCACCACAGAAATTGCTGTATTTGTCCCATTCGCAGCCGCAATGTTCGTGAACGAAGATACGTTGGTAGCACATTTCGTTTCAATCAATCAGGCCCAACTTTTCTTCAATGTGATGCTTTGGAGTGATAATCAGCGAACATGAGCCTCGGTCAAGGCGCGGCAACTGAGCTAGAATAATTAATGCGATGTGAGACGAACGATGTAGTGTCCGATGGGAATCTTGACGGTTGGGCATGACGAAGTATATCAGTACTGTTGCATGCATCATCTCCCAGCCTGAAGGCGGACGTAAGCGCGCGCCAAGGTAGCCCGAAGTTCTGGATACGCCTCAACTGAGTATGCGACCCATACAGCGACCTGAGGTGGGGAAACGAGAAATGCAACACGGACTGCCAAATATGGAAGAGGTTGACCCAAATCTGGTTCATCCCAGCTGTTAAAGTGGTTCTCGGCCCTGTACAAGTAGAGGCCTGCTATGCCGGTTATGTTGCACGGAGGTGGACATGATTCGTTGTCGTGATTCTACGCCGCCTCCTTACGACCATGAAGTGCGAGAAGACTGTATTGGGGGGTTTCCCACTGGAATTCGAGCTGCGTCGATGGAACATGACTGCTTTGACATTCTGGGGAGATGACATTGGCGTCTCACTTCTGTATCATCCAGACCACCGGGTTGAGGTCTACGGGGGGCGCAGTCTTAATCCCCGTCCAGTACCAATTGCTCAAGATGAAAAGGCAGCAGGTAAGCCCATGGAATAGACATCCCGCAGCCCACAATGCTAGCTCACGTGCGTCATTTTTGCCGTGCTTGATCTTTCGTATTATATCCCGTCTTTGCCCGGATCAAAGTATAAATTCGAAATACTAGCATGACTACAGACTCGGGTGAAGGTTGCGATTCCGAGATACTACCCCATCTGAGATATCCTCAGTAGTACATTGCTAGTCAAGTTGGGGTAGTGTTAGTATCCCTATTACAGGGTACTTGGTTCGAACCGTAGGTTAACAAAGAGATTAATTAAACTATATAAATTTCTATGTAAGTATAAAAAAGAGGTTCTAACTATAGGTTAGGCTAGTTATAATAATTATAAATAGGGCCCTTAATTAGTCCTTATATAATTAGCTATATACTATAATTAAATTAGATTTTTAATCCGATACTAACTTTCTCTTTTTTTTATTAATTTACTTATTATAATTAGAAATATAATTTAACCTCGGGCCCGTTTACTAAGTCATCTCTTTTTCCCCCTTTTCTCTACTTTTTTTATATAACTTATTCCTCTATTTATATAATAACTTTTTTACTACTTATAAATTACTCTAACCCCTTATTAAATACTACTTTTATAAAAACGTTAGTAAAGTTATTATTATTATTAATTTAATAAATCTTAAGGATCTCGTACTTTTTATATAATTACTTAAAGGCTATAATATTAATTATAAGCCTCTTTTTTTTTATTATTTTTAATTTAATAAAGTATTTATATAGTAAGTAAAAATTAATATAAGTAATTATTAAGATTAATAAAAAGTTAAATTAATTAGTAATCCTCCTTAATATTATTAAAATTATATAAATAAGGTTAACGTTGTTAACTATATTATAAACTTTTAATATTAGTATACTTCTTATTACTTACTTATTTTTAATTAATAAATAATAAATTATATTACTATATATAGTAAATTCGCTCTTATTTATATTCTTATTAGCTAGGATAATAATATATTCTAATTATAAAATAAGGTCTTTGTTATTTATAAATAACCTATTAATAAAAACGTAGAGCTTATTAATAATAAGGTTAATTAGGTAATAAACTAGGCCTCGATCGAGATTTAATTATTATTACTTAAGCTATTTATTAAATACCTCGATATCTCGTTTATTTAGCTTTATAGCTTATACTATTCTAGCGTAGTTAAAAATTACTTTAAGTTAGTATATATTTATAATATATACCCCTTATATAAGCTTAGCCTTATATTATTTTTTAACGTTAATTATATTTAAATTAATAAGGGTAATTTTCTTATTCTACCCCTTTTATTAAAAAATAACGGTTTCCCTTTTAATTATAAAAATCCTATTATTAAACGTTAATAAGTTATTTATTATAAGGACCTTTTTTAGCTTCGTTACGAAGCCCGCTTTTTAAAGCTTTTTATTTTCCTTTTTTATAAAGTTAATATTAAATAGGCCTAATATATCGTTAGTCTATATTTTAATAATCCTAAATTAATTATTTTTATATTTAGCGATTAATAAGTACGGGTCGTACGTAAATATAATTATTAATAATTAATTAATATAAAAATCGTAATATATAGCTTACTAATAAGTACCCGATTTTATAAGCTTATATAGTAGTTTAAGTACTTTAATAATCGTACTTTTTAAGTACTTACTAGCTATTTCCTTTAGTAAGTAAGCTAGGATTTTCCTTATAAGCCCTATAGCTAATTAAGTATAAGCTTAAGTAATATTACGGCTCTAAATCTCGTATCCCTTTTTCTATAATAATACTATTAATACTATTATTAATCGTTAGCTATAGCGCTATACTATAGGTAATTAAGTAAATAGCATCGCCTTTTTAACGTCTTTATACCCCTAAATTATATACTTAAATTTTTTATATAGTTAGGGTATTCCTTTTTCCTTAATTTTACGTACTATTTATAATTTAAATATATAAAGACTTTTATATTTCTTAGGGTTATAGAGGATAAATTAATAGACCCCTCGATTATATAGAGTATTTATTTTAATAAAATTTAATCCCTTATATAGCTTTTTAATAATTATAATAATACTTTTTTTACGTAGTTTAATTACTAGCTTAAAATCGGCTTTTTTTTTATTATATAAAAAATATTAAATACCCTGTTATTAATAATAAATTATTAAGTTAGGGCTTATTATTATAATTTTTTATAACGTCTCGCTAGTAGTATTAGTATCTTTTTAATAATTTCCTTTTCCTTATTATTTATTAGTATTATTATAATAATTTCGTTAAAAATAATTTCTTATACCTTTATTACGGGTTATATAGTTTCCCCTAGCTCTTTTTCTTCTTATAAATTAAAAATTACCTCGTTAAGATCTATATAATATAGTTTAACTACTATAATTAATACTTTAAGTAGTTAGTTATAATCTCTTATAACTACGTAAAAACGCTCGTTAATAAAAATTAATTTATATAGCCTAGCCTATTACTAAGTAATTTTATACTAAACTTATATATCTAAATTTAAAAATATATTTAAATTAGCCCCTATATTGGGCCTATTATATATAATAATTACCTTATTAACTTATTTTTTTATACTTACTTTACGTAACGCCCGTATTACTTTTTTAACTACTTAAGCTCGTTAATTTATATTTAGTAATAGTAATAAGGCTAAAGTCGTTTTTAAATATACTCTAAATACTAATAGCGTTAATATAAGCCTATTAAGCCCTATAATATCGTTATAGTACTTAAATACTATTTAGAAATATTTGTTATTAATAGAATCAGGATTCTCTTTTTTAATAATTCTAAACGCCCTTTTTAGCTATTAATATACTCTTTTTACTTTTTTAATATTATAATACGCTTCTATAAATACGACTTTTAACTATATACTATAAGCTATCGTATTCTCTCTAAATTTTATTAATTTAAAACTTATATTAACGTCGGTTCTAATACTATTTAGTAATCCTTAGTATATATCGATCTAGCTTTTTCGTAGGGCTACTTATATTATTTTTATATATAAATCCTAAAAAAATTACCCTATTTAAAATAATATAGCCTTATTAATTATATATAGGACCGGTTGATTATTTAAATAAAAAATATTAATAACGATTTTTTAATTAAAGTTAAGCTTATTATATAATTTAAATTTAAATTTATATAAGCTCTGCGTATTTATTTAGTATTAGTAGTACACTTTTATTAACTATTTTAGTACCCCTATTTTAATATTATTATTACTTAATTACTTTAGGAGGCTATATAGCCTCGTAACTAACGAGTACCTAAATTTTTAATATAGTTATTTAAGCTCATTTTTTATTAAATAATTAATTAACTTTATATTATTAATAAGCTTTATAAACGCGTACCCCTATTATTATTTAACTATTTTAAAACACTTATTATTAAAGATTTTATTCTTTATATTATTAAATATAATACTTAGTTAATTTATATTTTTTAAGTATAAAAAAAATAGAGTATTAATAAGTAAAATATAAAAAGTTATTATTTTAAAATATATCTCTATTTTTATTATACTTAGGGTAACGATTTCCTTACTTAGGCTAAAACTAATTCTCGTAATACTTATTATTAATATATTAAGCGTTACTAGTGCGATTTTTTATAATACTTAAAATTACCCCTTTCCTCTTATTAATTATTATAATATTTTAATATCTAAAATAATCTTATAAAAATTATCTAAGCCGTACCTTTTGCTTATATAAAATACCTATATAAGCTTAGTACTTAAGTAATCTAAGTAATATAAAAAAGACCTCTCTAATTACCCTTAGAATTTCTTAATATTATCTTTTTTTTTTAATATTAATAAAAATAATATCTTCTTTTTAAGTGTTAAGAAAATAGAATTCTATACTATTAAACTCGTCTTTCTATCTATTTTTAGATCTATTATTTAAAAGACCTTCCCTTACTATTTATAAATAAAAGCCTACTTATTAAAAGCTTTTATTATTTTTTATTCGTTTAGTTTCGTATATTTTTTAAAAGCTAATAAAATAAAAAAGGAGTAATTAATATTATTAATTTTATTATAATTTAATTTATTAGTATAGGGGGTAAGATCTTTTTTATTTTTTAAGTTTCTTATAGGGGGTAGATATTCTAAGCTATTATTTTAATTATTATTACTAAGTTCCGTACCCCTAGATTTATTTTTATATATAATAAGGAATTAACTAAATTAATAAAAGCTAGTTTTACTATTTACTACCCTCAACTTTTTATATTATTTATATAATTTAGCCCGCTCTTTTTTAAAATAGTTACTTAATTAATATTTATCCTTTTTATAAATAAAGTATTACTTTTTTTATTACCTTATTTATAAGTTAAATCTCTACTTATTTAATAAATCTAGGCCTCTTTATTAGTAATTACTATACTTAGTCTTTTTTCTTTTTTTATTATATATTTAGTTAACTTAATATTATTAATAAGGGCCGTTATATACTTAAAAATAAGCTTAGTATAATATTCTTATTTTAATATTAAAACTAAATCTTAGCCTCGAGTAGAGCGTCTCGTAGTCTTTAAGTACTTAATATAAAATTATTTTTATTTTTAATATATACTAGATTATAATATAAAAATATCTAACTTTTTACTCGTTAATCCCCTTATTTAGCTAAGTTTTTACTAACTTATTAATTCGGTTAATAAGCTTTTCGAGGATTTTTATTTATAATTTACTTTTTATTATCCTAGTTATAAATATAAAAAAAATTGCTTATAGTTTAAATAAGAGCTCTAAATTCTTATTATAAATCTTAAAGTAGCTTCGGATTACGTTAATAATACTAAAAAAGTTATTTTAATTAAAATTACGTACTGCTTTATAATAATAATTAAAAGCTTTATTTATAAGTATAATATTAATTACTAAATAGTACTAATATTCCCTAATCCCGACTTTTTTATAGTAATTATAAAATATTATTAAGGTTTTTTATAAAACCTCGTACTTTCCCCTAGAGTATAATTTCTTTTTTAAAAAAATCTTTTTAAAATTTATAAATTACTTCGTATTTATTATTATATTTTTAGTATTTATATATAATCCCTACGTTATTACGTATTATTAATAACTCTAGGTTATCTATTTCCTTTCTTATTAACTAACTAATACCGAATTTTATATTAGTAATAATAACGAGCTATAGATTAAAATAAGTAGAATTATTAATTATTATATATTTAGTACTATATTTTACCTCTATATATCTTTTTATAATAATAAATTACTATTAATAATTATAAAAAAAAAATCTAAGTCGTTTACCCTTTTTCTAAATTCGTTAAAATAATTATATACTTTAATAACTTATACCTAGTTCTATAGTACAAATTCCTTTTTTATAATTGTTATTATTAAAATCTTATATAATTTTTATAATTATAATTACGTTAATAATACCCCTTATTTATAAAAGAATTTATTAACTATTTTTATAATTCCTAAGCTTATACTCATAAATTATTTATCTAGCTAGTAACTAAAGTTATTTACGATTTTATAAAATAGGGGTTACCCCTATAGCCCCTTTTTCTTATAAACCTTAGTTAAATAAATTAATACTACGTTAATTTACTTATTATTAAACTAGTTTATAATCCTATATATTTATGTCCTTTAATAATCTAGGTTAATATTTACTTATTTATAAAAAATTAGGATTCTATTTAAGATCGGGTTTCTTTTTTTTTTTCTTTACCTTAACTTACTAAGGGTTATACTCTAACTTATACTTATATTAATAATTATTAACGTATTTAATCTTAATAAGGATATATTTAATTTACGTACTAGCTATAATAAATCTATACTTTTATTACTTAATAAATTTATTAAAGTCTAAGTAGTTCCTACTTCTTTTTATTATTTTATTACTACTCTCGTTTTTACTATTTTTAGTAATTATTATTACCTTTTTAAATTACTAATTATTATACTTATTAAAATCTTCTTTTTTATTTAATATAAAAAAATAAGTTTTAATAGTTCCTTTTTTAATAGTAGCGGTAAACGTTTATATTATTATAAAAAATATAATAATTAGTCTCGAGATTTTTATTAATTACTAATTTTTATTATTTTATATACTTCTAATTTCTAACTTCCTAAGCCTCGTACTTTATATAATTTCTAAATTACCTCCTTCTTTAACTTACCTCTTTTAAAATAGTATTTTAAAAAAATAATTAAAAATAAATACTAGGTAGCTTATAAAAGAGCTGAATAGGTTATTAAGAGTTAAATAAGTAATTAAGTACGGTTAGTAAAGTTAAGCCCTCCTTTTTATAAAATTAAGGATTTAAAAAACTTATTAAAAATACTTACTACTTCGTCGCTCGTACTAAGTAAGGTTAATTATTTTAAAAATCTTTTTTTTAGCTACTTTTTAGTACCCTATTTTATACCTTTTAAATAGTCTTTTTTTATAACTTAATTATTATTAAGTAATTATTACTTATTAATAATTCTTTTTATTACTTAGTTAATTTTTTAAAATTAATAATCTCGTATTAAGAACTAATATAAAAAAGAAGTTCTTTAATAGCCCTTTAAAAAATTCTTTTTTTTTTTTTTTAAAATCCTTATCTTTTTAGCCTTTTTTTAAACTAATTATAATTTTAATAAAAGGTTATAAAACTATTTTAAAGTAGCTACTTTTTTTTTAAGTTAATTTTTAAAATTTATAATATTCTTAGCTCAATATTATTAAGACTTCTAAATCCTCTCCTCTTTTATAAAACTATCCCTTATATTATATTCTTAAGTAATACTTAAGGAGTAGTTAAAAAAGTTATAAAGAGGTTATTTAAATCGTAAGCTTATAATTATATTTATAAAATCCTTATAATAATAAACCTTTTTATATATTATAAATCTCTTAGCTTTATAACTCTTATAAAGTTACTTTTATTACTAAATAAGAATATTTACGTTTAAAAATCCTTTTTTTTAAACATATAGTACTTTTTTATATTATATTATTAAGCTCGTTTATTATATTAATTAATTAAATAAGTAGTTATTACGTAAGTATTTTTTTTTACTAATTTAATTAGTTAATATTTAATTACGGGCTAGTTATAAAAAAGTTATTTAGTAAAAAAACTATTTAAAATAATAGTAAAAGACTAGTTATTTAAGTAGTTTTATTAATTAATATAGTTTAATATAATAAACGTCGACTTTTTATAAATAATAAAAAGCTATAATTACTTAATTTTATATAGTATTTAAAAATTACTTTTTTTTTTATTTATTTTTATAAAGTTAATTAATATAAATCTCTTATTTTATATAATATTAAGAAGTCGTCTCTTTTATATAATAAAATACTTTATTAATTTATAATAATAAAATTTAATTACTAATTAGTATTAATATCTTTATTATAAAGTACTTAGTTTAAACTATAAGTTAATAAAAAGATTAATTAAACTATATAAATTTTTATATAAGTATAAAAAGGAGGTTCTAACCGTAGGTTAGGCTAGTTATAATAATTATAAATAGGGCCCCTAATTGGCCCCTGCGCAGTTGGCCGTATGCCGCGGTCGAATTAGACTTCTAATCCGATAGGTAGCGGCCAATTACACTAACCATTTACGCTGAGTTGAGAACATTGTCAAGTCTCTCCGTTATTCGCTTTGATGGCGTCAGATCAGACATAGTGATTGGTTACTTCTTTTTCGTCATCGTCAGCTCACACACGATACAAAATGTGTGAAGTGATGGAGGTAAATTTTTTTTTTTTCGCTGTCGACGACAGCACCAGACCCACCGGGACACAAGCTTGAGTTGGAGGGTATCATCGGTTGACGCCAGGGTTCTGTTCACTGGCTCTCCCAATTAATAACCTTACCGCACCTGCCACCGAGCACCGATCTTTTTTCCTATTCATCCATTGAGGCATGCCACAAAATGGGGTCGAATACTCAATCCTTGTCACCTTCACCACAGCCAAGCTGTCGAGATGAGATACTCATAGCGGGTGGTACAGCTCCGATGAGGTGCAATGAAGATCAGTCTGTCGAGAAACATGAGGAAGTAGAAAAACAACCCTACCGCCCAGGCTCCGACAGAGCGAAACAGCCGACCGAGTGTTCCACTACGTCCGCTCTCAGCGGGCCGCAGGTCGCTAGGCGCTTGACCCTCGATGGCCTCATTCCAGAAATCCAGTTGCAGGTCCTCCGCAATCTCTCGGACCTAGATAACCTCCACGCAGCCATCTGCGTCTCGCCCACTTTGCATAAATGTTATCTCTCAGCGAGGCGCGGACTGCTATATCACCACCTCGGCAAGACCTTCCACAGCCATCGCATATTCGTTGATGCCTTTGCGGCTCATAAGCTGGGCATTCTGCGCGAGTCGACCAGTGAAGATGAACTTAAGCTTCTGGAGGAGTTCATGGATTCATATCTCAACTTGCAGTCCGATCCAGAGAATTTCAGAGCAGTATGTACTGTTGATGATCTGGCCGGCATCGCACGTTTCTACTCATCGACAGTAAGATCTGCTCTACCATAGCTTTGGCGTCAATGGGGTCGTCAGGACATGGAGGCGGAAGACTGTAGCGGATTAAGCGTTACAGAGAGAATCCGTATGATCCGTGGGCTCTACCATTTCGAGACATGGTGTAGCTACCACAGCCTGGGGAGTATCACCGCTCGTCTACTACCGACGACGACGACGAATGCCGATATGCTGCGCTTTCTTAACAAGTACCTATAACCTTGGCAAATCGAAAAGCTGAGTTGCATCCACTGTGAGATCCGGACCACTACCGCATGATTCTTCGCAATCCTTCAGCTATTGTCAGTTGTACCAACCCCTATACACATTTTTCAAGCTTGTCTACCAAGATCTGTCAAGGTCAAATATTTTTGATGTTAGTGAAGGTACTTTCACTGTTATTCCCTCATCTGTGGCTTTTACTGACGCGAGCCTGATCTAGAGCCTCTCTCGCCCGCGTATGATTGTTTCTGCGAGGCGCTGGTGACGCGTGGCCTGGAGCGCTTCTCTACAGTCCGGAATTGTGAGATGCTCAGTCCACAACTGATTCCACAACTGCAGGATGAGGTGTCTGTTGTACTACAAAACCAAGCATTCCAAGGAAATATGGTTGAGGGAACCTCAGACGATGAAGATGCAATCATGGAACGCCAGCTTGATCACGGAGGTTGCAATCGACTCGACCATGTATTTGAGGAGTCCACTCGAATTCGATATCAGCCTCAGCTCAACTGTCCACATTCACATATCTACATCTATTTAGGTGGAAAAGTGTATTTGAGTGTATCTGAACTGTCAAGAATGCCAAAGAATTGCTTGCAATCGAAGCCCGTCTCGATAGACACATGTGGGAATTCTACGTCCCGAGTAGAGTGGTCCATATCAACCACTAAGCCAGAGAGCCCGAGGTTTGGAGGCCCCGTTCGCTTGATACGTCCCTTATGAGGCATAAGTGATGAGAGTCAATAGATGGCAAAAGACTTAGCTGCATGTTTATACAAAAATGATTATCGAAAAGAAAATTAGAGTTGCGATCATATTTAACTAATTACTAATGTTGGAAAGAACACTCGGAATTTGTCGACTAGAACCAGTGGAACTCTCCCAATGGAGGCAACATATACTCCACATCTCTGGAGTTAAGAATTGAGGTGCAGTTCTCCTTATCAGCCGGAATGGTTGGCTTACATGCCGACTCACAGACAGTACCACTCTCAGGCAGCTTGCCCTCGTAAAAGTAGTCCCTAACGATCTTGACAAGACAAGCGCTTGGGTTAGATGTCGCGCCATGTCCGGAAGTCTCTTGAATCACCACAGCCGAGCCAGGATGTCCCTTCTGAACGTGCAGGGCGTTTCTGAGAGGAGTGATTGGATCGTAACGGCTAGAGGTGATCAAGAGCGGTGCAGCAGGAGCCTTGGAGTCGTTGGCGTTGGCGGCAGGGCTTGTGAAAGGTCCCGTGAACGCGTACGGCGGGCGAATCTTACGCCCGGCACAGGAGATTGGGACTGCTCCGGTTACAGCAGTTCCAGTCGTCTCGGATTGGTTCTTCAACTCCTTAAGCAAGTTTTCGTAGAAGGAGATATTGCGATTAACCACTTCATCCACGATGTCTGTGCATAGAACGCTAGATAAGACATCGGAGTCCCAATTGTACTGAGGAAGCTCATCGTTCTCCAAGTCGCAGACAAGCTTGATGGACTCGGGGGTTAGGAAGTTTGCGAGAATAGATGAGTTGCCCTTCAGAAGTGCGCTGAGGCCCAGAGCAAGTGGCTCGAATGAGACCAAGGGAGTGTACATGGCTGAGAAGATTGCCTGGCGGATGACTGGGGATGTGAGAACACCCGGGCGGTCGTTGTAGGCGAAGGAGACGGGGTTGGTATCCATCTCATCGAGAAAGTCGGCGACACGGGCTTTGACATCTGAGCCGGACTTGTCAGATGACTGGAAAAGGGGACAGTCTTCCTTGGATTCAAAGCAAACAGCGTAGAATTGATCAACGATCTTCTCCACGTCGTTGATATTGTTTCGGAAGGTCTATGAGATTGATTAACATGGGGATACACTCAAGAGGTGAGATAAACTTACACCAGCAGCCCAGTCGTCGCCGTCAACGACAGCATCAATCCAAATCCTGCCAATGCGCTCAGGAAACATTGACGCAAAGGTATTGCCCAGGTAGGTCCCGTATGAAATCCCAATGTACTGCAGGCGGGCTGCCTCAGCATCCTTTGGTTTGGCCCTTCCCGACTCCTTCCAGCGCAGGTCGTCGATGCGGTCAATGATCTCCACCATATCACGGGCAACGGACGCGGTGTTCATGTGACCCCAGATACTATCAACGCCATTCTCTTCACAAAGAGCACTCTGAGCATTGGCGTCGGCCCAATGATAGCCAAGAGCGTCATCAATCGGGGGTAGAATGGAGTCGCGCTCCTTGGAAAGCCTGCGGCTGAACTGGTCTCCCTTGAAGCAGTCGGCGCGAGGCGTACTTGTGTTGACACCACGAGGATCAAACCCGATGATCTCATAGTTGCGACCTTGACCAAGGACCTTTTGCAAGATGGGTCCAAAGGAGTAAGCAAAACCGGTGCCAGAACCGCTTGGACCGCCGGGGTTGATGAGAATACTGCCAGCGAAGGACGGGTCGTCATTCGGAACTGTGGCCGGGAGCTTGAGGATGCCAATGGAAGCAGTGCTGTTCTTGGTTGGGTTTGACCAGTCGAGTGGGACTTCGAGTCGCGCGCATTGAAAGCCATCACCACAGTCGTAGTATTGCAGGTCTCTCGTTGGTTTTGTGTCGACCCAGCTAAAGGCTTTGGTGGAATTTGTGCTTCTTGCAGCCAAGGGGAGAGTGACCGCTTGACTGAGGCCAAACAAAGATCCGGCCAAGAGGAGAGAAGACACCATCGTGACAAGAGTGACTGATATTCTACTAGAGTTTGTCCACTGTATAGATGTCCGAAGTTCGGAAAGATATAATCTGAGTTGCTGCCGGAGTGTGAATTTCTACTAACAAGTCGTCCGAAATGTCGAGGCAACTGATGGTATTTCAATAAATCTGGAGATCCCTGATCACAGCAACTGATTGTTCACTGTGAGACATCCATCTTGGCAAAAGTACTTTCATCGCTCAAGACCGCAGTCGAGTATCCATTGCCATTGATGTTTGGCTGGCTGTAGGATTAAGATGCTAGTCAGCCTGCCAGGCAGGCGCATTTCGCCCTGGCAGTGTGTATTACAGCGACTCTCGTATTCTCTTAGCTACTTTTGTACTAGTCGCATCTGTCAACACATCGTGATTGGCAAGTTTTGGACGTTAAGCCACATTATTGGCTGCGTAGCTGCCAGTGGGCTATGCTTTAGTTGATCTTATGAAGCCATCCCTCGCGTCGCGGGACTGATCTTGAGGCCGGCAGCCATTGACTATTCCAGACTTTCGCTTTTTTTTCTTTTTCAGGATAGAACCCACGTTTTCCAAAGCCCCCGAACACAGCGCAAGTTGGTTGAGAGCACAATGCTTTACATCGATTATTTTACTAGGCTAGATTGTGGTCTTCCAATCAGCCACTCGAGTTTAAGCACGCCAGCTTGGGTACCTGCGCTTGCCCTTTGTATACATAGCATTCGAAAGAACAGAATAGGCAAACTCACGCAGAGTCACTTGCATGTTGATGTGTTTCCGAGGAGAATTCCTGCTGTCTCGTGTTACGTTATATTTGATTGTGTTGAGGCCTGCAGCAGGAACATTGCCAAGAAACTAAACACTTAGCGAGTGGCTGAACCGCATTACGGTGCTGACGACCGCGTCATGTCGAGCTGTACCTGGATTGACAGCCCAAGCATTGCCCGGTGCTCGGGACTTTCGGGCGCCAAAGAAGGCCACAACAAGCAGTCGTAGTTCTATTTTCGGACTTTGGAACTTTGGCAGAACTACCCTGGACAAATGTTTCGACGTCATGATCATTACAAGATTTAGTCTAACATGACTTTGAGGCACGTGATAGAAGACGCGCTCTATGAGTTTCCCTGGCAGTAGCCACAAGTAGGTAAACAAGTGGTAGCCCACCGGCTCTTCAATGAACCTGATATTTTCGATTGGGTTTGTTTTGGCCTACGAATACTGCGATTGGACGAAGATGAATGGATCAAACCAGACACAATTATCATACCTGCGTGGCAACGTGGATGTTTTTCAATGTTTAGTAAAGCTGCCAGTGGCAGAGATACGGCCTTCCCGCCTTATGGGGCACCTGAAAAAGGAATCCGCTTTTTCGTGACTAGAACTCAATACTAGGCTATGGGATGTTTGCTTTTGCGCAGAAATAGTATGGAGTTATGCACACTGAGACTTGGGAATATAGGTGAGAGTGATAAAGGACTATTCACGAAGGTGGCACGGTGCTTTGCAGAGGAAACGCGCTTTAGCAAAACCGAGATACCGCCATCACAGTTACTTTTTTTGTCTAAGGGTTGTCGGTCGTGATATGTCGTCTTGGAAGACTTAGGCAGCTTATGCGACCTAAGAACCTCATCTATTGTGTTGTACTGATTCAAGTAAATTGAACTAAATGTGTGCCATGCGGAATGCATCTCGCAGTGCATGTACTTTCTGCTTGTTTTTGAACACAACAGTGCTGTGGTACTCTAGAAAGAGAGTCGGTAAAATAGTCTTCCGTCGTCAAATGTGTCGTGTCTCGTGTTTTAATCAACATTGTCGTTGGAGTGACCTCTCAGGGTCCATTCAAGCCACATTGACATATAGTAGAACCTGATGAGCGAATTTCACTCGCCCAGATTACCTAGTATTAAGTACTTAGCAGAGATTGATCTGTGACGATGAAAGTCATCCACTCCCTCTCACCCTACCGTTGATCTGGACTTCACGCGACGTGAAGTGAGACATCTTCCCAAGTTGGCCTTCAGTTTATCATCCGTTCGCGTCGATTCATGTGTGGTGACTGATACGGTGATTCAAAACCTACAGAGCTGGTAATTGACTCGGCGAAGGCAAGGTAATCGAGATATACACATTCACAAGTCAATCTATTGAATAACCCTCGGCATGGATCCTACATGTACTGTGATAGCGTTTCTAGCCAAGGGCAGGTTGTTGCTCACCCGACTCAGCATAACCCGAATTACCCCATTAACGTAGGGGCCATCTTGACATTACTCTTCATCCCTGAACCTTATTTTGAATACTTGAATGCCTGCATCAGGATGCTACTCTCATCCGATACAGCCGGTGGGAGCAATTCTCCTGATTCCCTGATATGGTTGTGTCACACGCCATCGAAATGTGTGAATAATGGACCTTGTGGCTTGGTGTTTCTATTGTCTTGGCAAGGTGAAGCGAGACCAGCTATTAATGGCCGTATTCCCCAGTTGAAGCGCGATATCGTAACGATGTGAGGCTCTTGGCGGTAGTATTGTCTCCTTTGAGTCATCGACAGTCAGATGCTCAATGTTTTCACAAGTGCCGAGGTTCTGCGTAATGGCACACTAGATAGTTGAAAATCAATCGAACGGTAAGAAAACCACTCCTTGTCCAAGTCTAGCCAGTGCTTGATCTGGACCAGCCTTCGTCATATGCATATAGAATACTACTTTCTTGACATGACTGCAGTCTCACATGTGCAATTAACGACAAAGGGTATGAGACATCCAAAATATTGTATCTATTAAATTGAAAAAATCAATCATGTGCTCTTCCACGGCTATGGTCCCGCCAAATAAAATAGTCAGAAGCGCTGCTACTTCCGTGCAACTATCGCTCAGACATAGCCTCGAGGTAAAGCAGTCCTGATCACTTGGTTATCCGAACGGGCTGTCCCCTGCTCCCCGCTTCCCTTCTAATGGATAGGTCGCCATGATACCTTATTTCACGTAATGTACATAATGCTAGCATGTTGATAACCCCCCGAAACTGCGGCTCCGAATCAACCATCTCTCTCTTCCACTGAAAACTCCCCGTGCTTGTAGGGAAACACAAAACTGTTGTACTGATTTTGGCGAAATAATATGACTGGTATGGAATTAATCGTGGTTTTTTGAACCAAAGATGCGACGCAGGGCGATATTCAATGCGGCTTATTACGCCACGATGGCAAGCTTGTTGTGCACGCTACGTAACAATGCAGGCCATGAAGAATGGGTTAATCAGCAACGTCATGCTACTCCCGGACTATTAGCAGCTGGAAAGGCTGGGCTCAGTTTCAACTAACAATGCCATATACCTTAGGGCCAATCAACTATTTACTGCTCCCGGGGAAATAGGATATATCAACTGACTAACAGACTTGACGGGTATCCAGCCTAGCATGTTTCAAACTCCGCAAGACTAGCGGACAGCTTGAGCGGGTCCTTGATCTCGTTTTTTTCCAGATCAGAGCACGAGTCGGTCATTTTCGTGATATGCGCGTTCCAATCGAGACCAAAGCAGTACGGCAGTTTCTTACAAACGCCGGTATTGCCAGCGACCGGAGTCGGCAGTTGATGATGAAGCATCTGCGGCGCGCCGGGTCGTGCCGTTGCAGCCGAAACGGATAGATTCCCGAGAAGTCTTTTTTTGCTTCCAAGGCAGGGTTCAAGAGAGAAAGGTTCCTCTACACGTCTGTCGGGTAAAGCCCAATGGCCCTTTTCCCTGACAACCTGTATTGAGCAGATTCAGCTTGTAGATTGACTTTGGGTCCCGATGAGAAAGACCCATATGCAAGTGACTGACACATGATGCCGCGTTCTCTGACCCAGGCGGCTTACATATGTGTCAGCCTTCTGAAGGTCAACAAAATCCATAATGGCATATCCCAAATGACCCAGAATGAGTGTACTGGCCGGAACGGTTGAGGTAAAAACGGTTGCATACCGATATATGAGATGTCGCCGCGTTCATGGTCTAAGTCGGCTATGTCCAAGGATGGACCTCACTTCAGAGTCATTCTTATCACGTTGATAAGTCATTCTTCATAACAATTATTTCCTCAGGAAATCCGAGGTTGTATGCTCTACCTGACGACGAGAAGGGCATGCATTCGGCCGTGCATTGCCTTATCACGATGTCGCACGAATTTAGGCCACTTCACATCATTTCGAAAGAGCACGTCCAAAGAACAGAAGCAAGCCGATTTGCCACTTCCGCGCGACGGATGCATTTTCAAAAGCCAGTGGATGTATCCGATCCGATGAAAGTGTGAGAAGTTCGCCTCCTCACGGCCCCAACCGAGCATCCTGAAGCCAAAAGAAGGAGGGCGAACCATTCCCCACTGATTCGGCTCCGAAGTAGGCAAATGTTGCTCGGACAGCACGGTCAATTTAGCAGTCTAGATGCTGCAAAGAAAAAGTCAGCGCACGGTACCGCCGACTATCAGACAGTCCGCGGACACCATTCGGCGAGTGTGCCCTAGAATGGGAAAGTCGAAAATGGCAGTGTCTGGAAACGTGTTTACGACTTTGGGACCTCGGACTGCACTCCTAACACACCCATCGTAACAACTCAACATGGCCTCATTCCTCTCGTCTAAAGCTCGATGACAGTCACTGATCAGATCTACGGTCCAAAGGGAAGAGATTTAAGGCTGACAAGAGTCATGTAAAATGGAGCCAGGACATATCCCATTCGCAAGCCTAAGCCAGTGTCATCGGGTGATCAAGGCCCGCGTCCGTTGACGTTCAATCCTGTTGCCAGTACGACGTTGTCTTTCCCGTACCTGACGGCACAAGTAACGGTACGATTCTGGGATCAACGGGAACAATAACGGAGAACACTCCGTGGCTAATCACGTACAACTTGGGCTCCTCGGGTTAAGACATCATCCGAAAGCGAAACTTTGGCTGCTCATATCATAGCATAGCGTGTAATAATAGTAGAGTTTGCATCTTGCATTCAGCATGCTGTTTGAAATTTGGCGGATAGCTAAGACGAGGAAACCGACCGATAGATAGGCCAGAACGTTCTGTTATTAACACGAACTTTACGTATGCTGAAAACCCGTTTGCGATCCAATGAAAACTCTGGTACCGTACTTGATGACCACTTTACAAGAACTTCACTGTCGTCGGAAGCTTTCCGGATCTTTGCTAAAGTTACCACCACGTGGACACACGATACTGGCGCCGATTTGAAAGTAGTGTTGAGTTTGACTTCTCGTAGCTTTCGGTACGATCTCGAGTTTCACAAGATCCGCGTGGTTTTCAGTATAGGTAAGGTACTGAGGTAATTCGGTTAGATACACGACAGCTTCGGCCCCCATCATCCTCGTCATAATCCTGAGGTAGGTGGACACATCGGCGATGACAATAAGTGGGTTTCCCCGGATTGATGCGCGCGGAACCGTCTTGGCGGCTGTTAAAAATGCCCGAGCAGGAGGATTTTAGCCTAAAACTCCACTTCGGGGAAGATTATGAATTCCGGGGCGAAAACCTCTTCACGACCGCTGAGGGAACGGGTGTATTACTGACCACTGCCGCGGCTCATGGAAGCCAAGGTCCCACTGCAAGGGGCAGTAATTCTTTCTGTCGATTCATCATCCGCTCCATCTCAGTCAGGGTCGCCTTGGCAAAGTCCAACCGTTCACGGGGTGTCTCAGCAGAAAAGGCGGAATCGGGGGCGGATACAAGTGCGATTTGCGGGAGACGCACGTCCAGACCAAGGCTCAACTCGTGGCATCACGTCGTGCTCGGACAGTTGTAGGTCCAAAAAGGCATGTCAATGAGCCAATGAGAAATCTCCGAGTTATCAACCCCTGACCCATGAGTAGGGTTGTGCTTCAGAGACACACTTACTGTGTAGAGAGGCCAAGAGGAAGGAAGGCCTGAGTCATCCCGGTCCGCGGGACGCCGAAGCCCACGAGAGTCCGTCCCGTCGAAGACATACTTTAGCCTGGAACGATTTGGAACGGGGATGGAACATGCACACTTCTCTTTCGCTCCCACAGCGAATACTAGAGCTCGATGGCGGTACACACACATGGCGAACTCTAATCGCAAAATCTTAGGGAAGATCAGGTGTTTACCATAGCGCCGCGCGCGCGCGTACTGGATCCAATTTGTCTCGGAGAACTCTTGATTGTTTCCCGAGTAAATCCGGATTGGAAAGAAACGTTCGCTTCCCACCCCCTCATCGCAAACGGGCTGAGTCGTTTCTATGACTCGGATTATTTTCTCCATCTGGCTGGGATAACGGTTCTTGGCACTAAGAAAGCACTGTCAGATGGTCTTTTGGATTTTTTGGATTTGCCGCTTGACGGCTGATGTTGAGGCTAGGGTGGGTTCTCTTTTAAGCTACAGATGATCCCTGGTCTGGACCTTCTGGGCCATGACCCCTCGACATTGAACTTTTGAGGCTCTGTGGGATGGTATAACACCGAAAGACGCCCAGTAATCGTAGTCTTGATGACATCCACACGCAGCTACGAACCGTCGTCGAACCCATCAACATTGCGGAGATGAACGAGTCGGAGGAGATAGTAGATCACTACGATTCGGACAGCTCACCTTACTCGGTCCGTCCGTTGCCACCAGTTCTTCGCCATGGCCTCGCCGCAGTGGCGACGATGGGGTTTCTCTCCTTCTTCACCAGCCTGGGTTTGTTGACGTTTCTCACGTATAAACTGATCCAATGGCAACACGGCCCGCCGACACCGAAGGAGGATCTCATCATCAAAGTTGAGTCGCCGAGACCGACAGACGCGGCATTCATTATTCCAAGCAATTGGACTGCGGCAACTGAAGAAGAAGCTGCAAAGAAACAGAAGGAGACATGGTGGCAAAGAGCTATCAACGAGCCGCCGAATCAGTTCCTCGTTCTTATTTTCAACCTCCTACTTGCCGATATACAACAAGCGCTGGCCTTTCTCCTCAACGTAGAGTGGCTAACTAGAAACGCCATTGAAGTCGGCACAGGCACTTGTTGGACCCAAGGATGGTTTGTGTCGACCGGCGACCTGGCGTCTTCCGTGTTCATCACGGGTATCGCGATCCACACCTACATGTCTATTGTCTCGACAAAGAAAATCCCGACGTGGGCCTTTCATACCGCAATCGTCATGATGTGGGCTTTCGTGTACGGGACCGGGATCCTTGGTGTAATCATCACAGAGAATGGGAAGAGTGAGGGCGGCCTCTACGTGAGAGCCGGCGCTTGGGTGAGTCAGCCTGCTTCATGATTATCGCGGCAACAACATTAACACGCAACAGTGTTGGATCAACTCCAAATATCAGGATGTTCGCTTAACACTTCATTATCTCTGGATTTTCATTTCATTGGTTCTCACAAGTTTAATCTACTTCATAATATTCCTTCATTTACAGAAGCTGGCTCGGCAAAGCGGCGGGGTGATTCCTTGCTGTGGACACCCAGGGACTACGCCAACCCTATCAAGTTGCAGCGGATCAAGTTCAGGCACCACGTCGAGCTGCGATAACCACAGCACAATCCCGAGCACCTTCTGGCGTCCGATGTGCTTGACGACGATTCTTAGACGACTACCCGATATTCCAGATTATGCTAGGCAGCACACATTTCTTTTGTACCCTCTCGTCTACGTTGTCTGCACCATTCCTTTAGCTGCTGGCCGTCTTGCCTCCATGACAGGGCACGATGTATCTCTGGGATACTTCTGCTTCGCGGGAGCAATGATCGCTTGCAACGGCTGGATGGATGTTATTCTCTACTCTTCAACCCGACGATCCATCGTCTTCTCATGCGAAGGGCCTCCATCACAGGAGGTTGGCTTAGAGACATTCTCATTCATGTGTGGCACGCCTCCAAAATTCGGCAACACAACTATTGTCATGGGAGGTTCGACCTCTGAGCAAAAACGGCTGAGGCGATATAATAAGTGGTGCGAGAGAGTTGCCCGCAAAGGCCCAAAATCAGGCGGTTTGAAGGCGCTCAAAGTAGATGGCACCGAAAGTACAGAAAGCATGAAAGGAAGCATGAAAGGGTTTGGGATGGGAGAGGGTTCGGTCATGGGCATGGCGATTCAGTGCGAGACGACCACGACAGTCTCCGTTGAGGTCAACACACTAGCACCACCAACTCGGCCCAAGCTTGCGGCTAGGAAGTTGAGTGATGCAAGCAACTACAGTGCCGGCTCTTCTTCAATTTGGGGAAAGGACTGAGCTTTCAGACTCGGTAAAGTCTGGCTATGTCCAGCATTTGGGCTGGAAGATGATGACGCTTATTAGACGACTACATGAGGTACACATGTACCAGCTGGCCTAGCTACAGCTCACAGGGCTATGATGATATACCCAGATATGACTTACAACTGTACAGTAAAGTAACATCAAACGTAACATTTCTTTCCGAAGCTGAAACCTGCCGTCTCCTTCTGTTTACTCAAACCTGGACCATCACCAGCCCACCAAGCACAAAATTAGTACCTAACGAATGCTGCAACCATCTCAACCGAGATCGCGGAGCTAACCGATCGAGCCGAGAAGTGAGAAGACGCGTCTACCCGCAGTAGGATTGTGACAGAAAGTAAGTCTGTAATCGCCGACCTTGACTTCGCCGGGTCTGCCGTAAATGGGCATTCATTCAAAGTCAAAATCTTTTCTCGACAGTTGAGATGACGGCAAAATCCAAACCCATACCTCTCCGTTTGAGAAATCACTCCATCAGTAGTCTGATTTCCAATACCCCATGAATCCACCTGAGGGTAGTGGGCTAGGTATCCCGGGCGAGGCCTGGTAGCTCTACCCGGGGTCAAGGATAGGCATTCACATTTGACCGCTGACAGCTGCAATGTGAAACTCTTGGCGTTTGGTAAACAGGGTAAGCTCCTCCAGTAGATTCTGACGTCAGAAGTTTTAAGAATAGAGTTTTTAAGGTGTTTCGAGATGTGGTAGTCTAGCTCCGGTCTCGTTCTCGTTGAGCCAAACGTGACGGACACGTGGATATCGGACTATCGCAGGCCGCGACATCGCCGAGGGGACAAAGGAATTAGTCTAGTTTTTGATATCGTAAGGGAAAATTACTGGCCCAATGTCCAGGTGGAGGACCTAAGTCATTTGAAGAAGTTTAGTGCATCAAAATAGTATTCCACCGGCAAGACAAGACTACTATTCACTCACAGATCACCTCAAGAATTACTGCAGCACAGGAGCCGCTCTTTAGTAGCCGCGACCTGTGTAAGTTGCGACTGCCTTGCACACTTTCGATACTCTGAAATCGATTTGCCCTGGATCCAGAACCAGACAACCCAAACACATTGTATAGCAGATCTATTGACAAAGATCTTGGTGGCTGCTGCATGTTTCCAGGGGTCTCGGCGTCTGGATGCGATTGGAAGCTCAACCAAGGAGGTTGGACGGTCAGGCCGCATCTGAATCATCACGCGATTAGTCCCCAATACACACTGGTTGAACTCATGTGGGAGCCGGGTCTCCACGTGGATCACCGATCGAGAGCTTACCTCAGGGAAAAACAAGTATACAACAATGAACTGGACAATAATCCAGCCAACATAGAAGAAGTAAAACTTCCAGGACATGGCTGCAATGCCGAGAGGATTAACGTAGGTATTGAAGGCTCCACAAATACCCGCGACAAGAGAGAACATGGCCATGCCCTTGGCGCGGATGGTGTAGGGAAGGATTTCGACAACTGAAGGGACACGGCGCGTCAGCGTTTCAAAGTCTAACCGCCCCTTTGGGGCTCTAGGCTTTGACTTACTGTAGAGCATTTGTGCGCCCGTCCAGCCTAGATTATGCACACCGCTGTAGAGGTAGATGAACGCCACGGTTGTGTAACTTGCGTGACGGTTCCCTGTCTCGACGTAGGCGCCGGACGTGGCCGTGATGACTGCGAATACCACCCACATTCCGGCCATACTTGTCAGCATGAGGGGCCGGCGGCCGACACGCGCCGGAAGGAAGGCGAAGGCAAAGGAACATGCGAAACTGAACATCTGAGATGTTGCGGTAATCAACGTTGTCTCGATCTGCTTGGTGATGCCTGCGCTTTTGAGCATGCTGAAATGTATCATGCTATGTTAGCTCCATTCTCAGAACACAGAAGTCAACTATTTTGTAGAGACGGACCTTCCCAGGTAATATGATACCAACCCGTTCCCGGACCACTGCTTGCATATCCCGCACCAGATGATGATGAACGATCGCCACCGGTTGCCTGGGGTTGCGAAAAGAGCCTTGAGGTGGAAGGGGTTCTTGTTCTGCGTGATTTCCGCCTCGATAGTCTCTTTGATCTCGGCGTATTCGTGCTGGACGACTGCATCGTCGGCATCCCCTGCACCGTGGTACTTTGTCAGGATATCAAGCGCTGTCTGCTCCTTGCCCTTGCTGCAAAGCCATCGAGGCGATCTAGAAGTTGTGGCTCAGCTACAGCTTCGAGTCAAGTACAGATTCTTGGCAAACCTACTCCGGCAAGAAGAAGAGTCCGCATAGCACCATCGCCGATGGAAACGCCTGAATCAGTGTCGGCGTTCTCCACGCCCTAGGGATGGTAAAGAACTATCAGTCAGTGCACATGTTTCTCGGGCCTCGCGTGGAAATTTTCGCCGATGAGTAAAAGCATACCATGAATCCGAAATTCGGAAACTTCCAAAGGCTACCCAGGCGGCCAAGATGGCCCCGACGCTGTATGTCGTGCTGCTCAATGCCGTCGCCGTCGCCCGGTGGGATGGGTACGCCAGCTCCGTCATCAAGACCGTTGAAACGGAAGAGCACATGACTCCTCCCATGCCAAGAAGAATTCGGCCAGCGATGAAGGCTCCGTGACTCACTGTCGCTGCGCAAATTGCTGCACCTACGATGCAAAGGCCGGAACCCGTGGCGATTGCGATGCGTCGGCCGAGGCGATCTGCGACAAGGGGAATGAGGATGACTCCTAGGATGTTCCCGATCCAGTACGATGCGCTCATGGCACCTAGAAGACTTGCTCGGGGGTGGTCAAAGTCTGACCTCTATCCTATCAGCATATCGATAAGTCCACGCCGAGAGGACTCAGAGAAGTGATGCGCGACTGACCATCTTGCCATTTGTTAATCTGTTGGAGGTTGTTGATCAAAGATCCGTCGAAACCATGAGCAACATCACCAAACAGAAGGAAGAAGAGACCAAAATTGAGGGGGCGAAGTCCGGGATCTTTTAGCCACGACGTTGTCTTGGTGTTAAGAGGCGTCGTCGACTCTAGGGCCTGACGGTTGTCGCTATTCTTCAATCTGGAGTTCCAGCCCATCGTTTCGATTCTCCAGACAATTCGAGTTCTTATCATTGCTCACATGCGATTAAACGGAGATTGCGAGGAACGGACTTCGTCTCTATTGATATCAAAAAACTCAACTGCTTCATATTGGTTCAGGTTTCATCGCCACGAGCTGTTCGCTATCACGTTGATTGCTTGGCTGTCAATCTTTCTCTTGGCCTCTTGCTCTATTCCTTGGTTCGCGGGTATCGGTTGGTTGGCAAAATCGACTTGGAGTTTGCCAACGCGGAGAAATAAGCTGTGAAAAGATCGCAATTGCGGGGATGCCATGGCTGAATAACCTCTTTTTCGTCCAAATCAGGCATCATCCATGGCTTATTGGAGTGCGGGGCGTTGTATCGGCGCATCGGTGGTCGGGGGAAGATCCGGGGTTCACAGTCGTATCGGCTCGTCGGGCGATTCATCGCGCGGGGAACCGTCCATCCTCCTCCACTCGGCTCAGTTTCCCCCGAACCTAACCGTAGGGACCCCGCGTACGTCACTGTGATAGATTATGAAAGTGATGGAGGGGGCACTTCCTCATACGAGTCTTTGATCTGTAGTGTTGCATGTGCTGAACGGTATCCAAGATTTTGAATTTGCATACACTTGGCAAGGTTCTCAGAAGCGACATGGGATCTCAGTTGAAGTTCCTCGCCAAGTCCGAGTTGGCCCTGGATGCGCGGCGAGAGCATCGGATCAACGCCAACTCTTTCCAGCAAGATGCCTTAACGACCTTTAATGGATGGCAGTATACCTGCTTTTACACTCACAAAGATGCAACAAGCAACGTCCTTTTCGTCAGCCTTGCCCGGCGACCCATCCGCGACTCACTAGGCAGCTGGGAGACGTTGACGTTTGAGGACTACGAGCAGACGGCGGATGATGGGCACAACACTATCTCGATAGGAGTCTGTGCTGGAGATGGCACTATTCATGTCTCCTTCGACCACCATTGTGATCCGTAAGCCGTCCCACAGAGATCGTTTCTATTGCATGGAGCTTGGCTGATGACTCTGACTTTGTGCAGCCTGCGCTACCGCATGTCAATACCAGGCGTGGCGACAAAGCCGGAAGCTCACGATTGGAAGACCTCACTTTTCAGTCCTACTCACAATCAGCTCCCGGGATACACACGCACAGGCCAGTTGGGAGTCGAGAAACTCTTCTTGGAGACGACATACCCACGCTTCATCCGCATCGACGATGACCTTCTTCTGAGCTATCGCATTGGGATGTATGTAAATGGAAATTGTGTGCAGCAACGAGCTTGAGACTGACCGAGATGCAGTGCGGGAGCGGGCTCCGATCACTTATTCAAGTACAGCAGCAAGGACCAGTCATATTCCTATGTCGGACAATTCCTTACCGGCGTCAATAACAACCCGTACATCAACGGCATCTCATATGCCAACGGGTGCATTCATGTATCTGGCACGTATCGCGGTTTTGTATGGTACGAAGGTGTGGATGACTCAGAGGCGCGGACGCACACTGTCCAAGCTGGACCGAATGGACCAGAAAACAACCACAATGTGTGTGGAACCCATCCTACCAGAGGACGAGTCTTGTGCAGAGCTCGACTGACTTTGGGTTTAGCTATTCTATGTGAACAGCGACGACGGCGGAAAAACATTCAACAACACAAAGGGCGAAAGGCTAGCGAACCTCGAAGTAGGCGAGACCGTATACCCCGACAGCGAAGGACTCATTGTCTTCGACATCCCAATGAACAACGGCATCCTAAACCAGGAGGCGCAAGCGGCAGATGACGAAGGCGGGTTCCACGTCCTGAACCGAGAAAACGAAGTCTGGATACACTATTACCGCAGCCCAGAGGGGCGATGGAGCCGCCACGCGTTGCCCGCGGACCTGCAGCCGACGCGGACTGGAGCACGCGGGGATGTCATTGCTTTGCCGGGCAAGAAGACCGTCGTCTTTGCGCTTCCGGGGAATCGAGACGATAAGCTCACCGTTCTCGGCGCCAGGTTGCCCACTCAGGCTCAGACAGGGGCTGCGGATGAGGAAGTCGCGCTGGAATACCGCACGCTTTGGCAAGCGGATGGGTTCTCCGGAGAGCCGCAGGTCGAGACGTTTGAATCTGGGTCGCAGCAGGTGGTTTCGATTTACACACGAACCGAGGAAAAGGAAAGAAAAGTGGTGGTGCTGGACTTTGCTTTGGAGAAGGACTTGTGATTTTCCTCCATATTCTCCCAACCTATCAGGTTCTACTATTGTCAATAGGTAACCAAAACAAGTCACAAACTGGGCCAATTCAAGTAACGGGAAATCGCATGAAATTTGTGCTGCTTGATTGTGTCTCTGAAACCGACAATCTAGACGCAACATGACGTTGGGTTGCACAGGCGAAAGAAGGAAACACCTGAAAAGTTGGGCGCCGTTTGCCCCGAAAGCGCAAACGGGCGAGGCGGTGTACTTTATTGGACTGAAGAAAGCAAACATGGTGGGCCAGCGCGCGATAGTACCTGCGTGGGTGAGACAATGGAGGAGATCGTCATGTCCGAGATCTCTCTTTATCTGCGCCAGGATAGTCAATAATAATGAGTCGAAATCTTTTTCTCCCAACTTGCAAGTTGCGGAGACTCTACAATGGGAGGCAGCCGGGAGGTATCTGGTGGCAACGTAATGGGGGGCTTCCCCCATGATTGAGCGTCGGACTCACCAACAAGTCCACCCGTATGTCGTGCTTGAAGAGACGCACATGAATGGGATACGGCACAGGCGAGGCGAGCTTGAAATCATGACCCAATGGCTGTGTTCCACGACCGATGGGCTTCCAATCCTCGGGCCAGAAATCTCATACCCCTCAACTTCGACTACAGTGGGCAGTGCAGGCTGCCGTCCCCCGGCTTGGGAACAAATCGAAGAGAAGAGCGAACAAAACCATCCGATCCTTGTCTTGCGCGGCTTGTTCGCTGGCCAGCCACCAGGAGTTTCAGAGACTCTGATAGGCCGCGGGTGGTGGGTTGCGCATCCCGCTCCCTCTCTCAGTCTCCTCTTCGAGTCTCTTTTCGTATCAGCCACGGGCAACCCCCGGCACTCGTCCGGGATTTTGCTTTTTGAGCCCCGTTCCGCCAATGCCGCGCTACTGTGCCTGACCTCGTGTTGGTGACCCGACAAGGCCAGGCCCGGGACCAATTATAGCGCACGAGTAGCCAGTCAAATCCCCTGGCAGCCCTAGGGTCCTCCTCGCTTGGTCTGGTTTGTTGGTTTGTATGGCTTTCCCAAGGGGAAAACACGCGCTCTCCAGTCCCGAGGTCCCCTGTTCCTGTTTTCTGTTGCGGATGTTGCCTGACACTTTTTGGCGAGCGAGGCGTTCGTGGACAGCCCCAACGGCCGAATCACCACAGAGACAGTTGTCCAGCCATCCTTTTCGAACGTTCAGTACCCTGGCTCTGGAATAGTGATCCCACCCCGATAGGCATGCCTACCACCTTGCTCTCTGCCCATGTTCGCTGCTTGGAGTTGGAGAGTCCCTTAACGAGTCCCGCATCCGAACTTTCTTTCCTCGCTTCTCATGCCAAGGGTGGCAGGCATGGCGTGCAGAAGAATCACCTGCAGGCCTTTTTTTTCCTGCGGGATACGGTGAGCGAATGCCGTGTTCCTGGCGTTCCTGCGCAATCATGGGACTAGCAACGTCTTGCGTCCTGAGCTGCCGGCGTGGGGTTATTGTCCTCTTGGGCAGCTGCATGTTTTAAATAGAATACCGCCTTTTTTTCGGCCGGCTTGCTATTCCTAGTTGTTGCTGAGAGAGAAGAGGTAGGGTTGGTTTGCTACGTGTATATACAAAGCCTTCCGGTTCCCCCGCGAGCGATCGTCGCACACATATTTGAAGCGGTCAAGAATTTGCGCACTCATCCCACTTATTCTCGCCCGTCCACACAGTCGTTTTCATGGACGTACCACGTTCGCTCTAATAACTAGAATATTAATTCTGTCACTCGCTATATCGCAACGGCGTACCGTCGTTTAAACAACCAGCACACAACATGATTATCCCTCTACTCAATACGAGATCCGGCGCAAAGACCGACGCCGATCCCGTAGCTGCCGACTTCACCGCCGGACCGACCACCGGCGGCGGCCCTAGCCAACAAACTCTCATCATCGTCTCCACAATCCTCGGCTCCGCGTTTCTCCTCGTCATCGCCATCGCAGTCTACTGCACGATAACTCGCCGCCGTCGCAAGAGGGAAATCGCAGAAGAGTACAAAAATGCTTGTCTACGGGACCCAGATCTCACGTGGGAGGAGTACACCCGACGAACAAAACTCACGCAATCACGCATTATGCTGGCCGAGGAGGAGTTGAGGGACACGATCATCCGCAAGTCGCTACAGAATAGGTCATCCGTCACCGTCACACCCGTCGCCGGCTTCACCGCCGCCACCCCGGACACACCCACCGAACCCGTCTCACCACCCGCCAGGACACGATCTAGGACGTGGCATGGGCGCAGCAGATCCAAGACGAGCATCGACGCGGAGGAAGGCGAAGGATTACTCATGTCTCTTCGAGGCGACTGGACCGAGCACGAAGCGCGCGTCGAGAGGACGTGGCAGCTTCTTCACAAGAAGTACCCCACGAGGCGGGTGACGCTGCCGGTGGAAGAGGAGTCTGGCGGTCCGATACGGCCGCCTACGATCCGGTTGAAGACGCCGCCATTGCTTTCGCATCCCATGTTCCGGGGTTGGAATGCGGAGAACACGGTGAAGCACTCGAGTTTACCGACTTTACCGACTGAGTTGGAGAAGATGAGGCCCGCACAAATTTGATGGAGTAATGTATCAGGAGTAATGTTCATGTCTATAATGTCTATGACGTATTAACGAATAATGGAATTGGCCCGGAGTTGGTCCAAGGTGGCGTTTGGTCACGGTATATATGGAGGGTCTAGGTGATTGAGATATCAACAGAACAAGGCCGTAGACTACAAGATTTGAGATCTTGAAAATTCAATCGCAACATTTATGGAACGGTCTCTGAGAACGAAACGATTGAACTGATGCATTATTCAAAATATCGATCATCGAATCGACAGTCATTATCATGTGGGATTAGGAGCAACAAACCGATGCTAGGAATTAAAGCCCCATTGATAGCCTAGTGGTAAGGATCGCAAACGCTATTACCAGTCAAAAGACAGGCCTAGCCATAGTCCGGGCTTTGGACGAGGACTGCTGTCGTAAGAAAGTGCCAGTAATAGAGTCATAATGCCCCTCACTGCGGCAAATGCGATTGAAAATCAGCAGAAGGTTCGAGGTTAGAGAAAATTGTATTCGTATTCCCATTCACGGTTGCCTCGTCGCTAAAGCTCGAGCTAGCGTACTAGAGGTCTCCCGAATTTGATGACTCCAATCACATTTGAGTCCTGGCACTAGCAGTGACCATCAGAGGTCCTGCCAGATCACTCACCCCCACGCTGATCAATTCCGGCAAGACCCCGTGAAAGCTTCCATTTGTAGCAAGACCTCTCTCCATAGGATCAGCTAGCTGAAAGTCAAACTCGCGCAGCAAGGTGCTGGTCAGCTTGTAGATGTTGGATTGTGCCAACGTCTTGCCAAGACACTGGCGACCACCCAGGCCGAAATGCATCAGGTAACGGGCGCGCGCAGCTGTCTCTGGTTGATCCCACCTTGACGGGTCGAAGACGCCGTGGTCGTCGCCCCATACTTGCGGATTGTGATGGAATGCGTGGTTGCACACTGCCACGGATGTCTATGACTCACAATATTAGCTCGATGAATTTACCACTGTGAGTAGCTCGTTAGGCAGAATAAGTTTCTTTAGGCGAAGTCTAAAGAACATTAGTTCGATCTTACCCCTTGTTTGATGTGACGGCCCGCGACCATGATTCCTTCGGGAGCTGTCACACGTCTCGCCAGCGGCATCGTGAAGACAGGGGTTATACGATAGTTCTCCTTGACACATGTCCGAAGGAATGGTAGGGAGCTTTCTACTTCTGTGATTGAGTAGGCATCTTTCCCGTTGTCTAGAGAAGTCAGGTTCTCGTCCACTTCCTGTACACACTTGCTAAGTGCCTCTGGGTTGTGTAGCAAGTTCCAAAAGAGAAGCGTCGTGGTTGCACTGGTTGTGTGCGTTCCGGCAATGCTATGAGATGGAGTCAGCATGAGCCGTTTGTGCAAACTCCGGCGTCCCTGAAGTTGGACCTACATCATTCCGAATGCCTCGGCCTCCAGATCGACTCTTGCAATCTTCTCTCCTGTGTCGGGATGTCGAGCTAAGATGAGACTGGTCAAAATGTCTTTCCTCTGCACCTTACCCTTGTTCTCGTCTTCTTCAACCTCCGCCACTCGTCTATGAACACATTCAGCCGCTAGCCCTGCACACTTGGCCCGTCCCGCGAACAAATTCTGCAGACCGGCGCTAGGTATTCGTGGTAGCCATTGCTTGAGGGTTTGCGTCATGGCCGGCCACGCTCCCAAAGTCGAGCCCAGAAGCGTATGTGGGATGACGGGCGGTACACGAGACTCGTCGCCAGAGGCCTGGACCCCAAAGGAGCGACTAAAAGCTAGCTCGCCTAACACGTCAATGGTGTAGAAGTGCAGGAGCTTCTTGAGATCAAAAGCCTCTCCGGTCTTTGCGAATCGTGCGATCTTATCACGCAGGATCTTGATGTTCTGGTCCAAGTACTGTTCCATGCCCTTCACGCTGGTGATGGAGAAGCTGTGTGACATGTGGCGTCGCCTGATTGAGTGTAGCTAAGTACACATTAGTCCAAAGCTTGCTGATTGTATAGAGGCGTTTCATCCGTACCTCTGTGGATCTCATGCCAAAAATATTTGGGGTCTTGGAGCCGAAGGCATCGTAGTACTCCGTCTTTGGCATCCGCTGGCCACCCTTCTGATACACCAGAGGGACGACCTCTTCGGCAGTGATGCTCAACTTGTCCGGTCCATATCTGATAAACTCACCGTACTTCTCGTGAAGCTCGGTCAAGTTGTACGGTTGCTTTAAAGACAGGAACTGATTGACCTGCCACAGATCCGTGACAGATGCCCAGAATGGGCCTGGATAGCCAGCTAAGGGGTGGAGGAATCTCTGATAGGCAACATAGATCACCGCGCTAGTTACCGCGAGACCCAAAAGGAATCCTGAAAAGGTAATCTGAACATAGTCTGAATCAAGTATGGAGGATCTCATCTTGTACTCAGCGTGCCCAATCGTGATCTTGTAATTTGCAATGAAAATGATTGAAAACCGGTGTGAGGAAGTTGTGCTTATGATGTAGCTCCGGCGCCGCGTTGACGGAGGATAAATACCGTCCGAACCGCATCTGCCGAACTCTCCCCGCACCAATACTCCCGATCAATCCGAAACTCGCGGAGGGAGAGCACTCACTGGAAGCCTTACAATTGAGTGAGTCCAAAGTCGGGGTAGGTTGATGAGGGGAAGACAAGGATACTGCTTCAAATATCGACCATAGACCCATGCTTCGCTGGTTCTGGTCGACGTGTAAAAGAGGCGGCTTTTCCTTGCTAGCTGAGTATTGTCAACTAAAGCAGTGTTTGGTCCATACTGAATCCATTTGGAAGTTGAAACTATGGAAATTCTCAACACCATGCACGCTCATATCTGTCAGTGATGTGGTTGTCTTTGAGCAATACCCACATTTGACCAACGTTGAACGTTAAGTTTAGCTAGCATTGAACAGCGTTTCGATCACGGGAGGAAAAGGATAAACTTCCCACCCCAAATCAAAACCGACAACTCAATGAGACTCGTTCCATCATACCACTGCATATTGACCTTGGGTTGAAAGTGAAGCTCTCAAAATTCCAAAAATGAAACCGACCTACGTAGGGATCGAACCTACAATCTTCACAGTGTGACTAGGGAGCCGAAATGTGACGCGATGCCATTTCGCCAGCAGGCCTGGTTGATGGAATTTCGGCTGAAACGGACGCTCATATACCCCATCTAACCGACGAGCTTGGACCAGTCCTGTCCCTGGATCTCTGAAGACAGCTGCATGTAAGTGGGCTAGCGAGCAGTTGGGGCTTCATAGCTGTAACCTTGTCATGTAAGTTACGATGATGCAGCAGCTCTAAAAGAAGAAAGAGACTAATTGTTGAGGCTGACAATCTCCTTGGAGTATCGGCGAAGGAGCGAGATCTACACCGGCAGTGCGCATGCGGGTGTAAGACAAATCATGCGGACCGCTCCGTGTGCCGACGGACACCCGCTGACTGCCGCTTTTCGGTTGGTGCTGAAGCCTGCCGGCATGCCGTCGTCTCCGTTCCGCATCGCAGAACATGAGAATAGTATTTGTCTAAGTGCATCCGAGTTTAGCAATGTTATGTTGATAAGTAAAGTAAGCCCTGGGTATTCTTAAATGTCTTAAAAATTCTCCCGCTGTTCTCTTTACCTTGGCTCAGGCGTGTGTTTCTCCAACTTTCCAGATTCTAATCTCGTTAAATCACCACCACCATCTCTTTTCTAATAACCGCCACAATGACGAGCATCCGCAAAGTAATCATCTCACAGTACGGCGACGTCGACGTGATCAAAGTAGTCACAGATGTCTGCCCTCCACCGCCCCCCGGCGAAATCCAAATCGCCACAGAATACTCAGGCTTCTCCGGCGCAGACGTCAACATGCGCAAGGGCATCTACCCCTTCATGAAGAAAGCGCCCCTCACACCAGGCTACTGCCTCGTCGGCACCGTCCGGGCTCTCGGCGAAGGCTCCAAGAACTTTCAAATAGGCGACGTCGTTGCCGTCCTGACCAAATACGACTCCGAGGCGGAGCTCGTCAACCAGCCGGAGAAGTACTGCATCCGCGTGCCCGACGGCGTGGATCACCGCCAGGCGACGGCGCTCATTTGCGACTGGAATACCGCGTACGGCATGGTGATGCACTCGGCGAGGGTGTCCAAGGGCCAGCGGGTGTTTGTGCACGGGATGAGCGGCGCGGTGGGGTTCGCGCTCATGAAGCTTGCGCAGCTGCAGGGGGCCACGGTCTACGGTACCGCAAGCCAGCGGAACCACATTGACGTTCGGCGCGAGGGCGGTATCCCGTTCGTATACAGCGACAAGAACTGGATGAAGGAGATGAACGCCCTGGGTGGCGCGCATGCTGTGTTTGACCCGCTTGGGTTTGAGAGCTTTGACGAGAGCTACTCCATTCTCGCGGAGGACGGCACGCTTGTTGGGTTCGGGAATAACAAGGCTTCGCTGAACGAGGGCGCGCCTCCTCGGAACCCGACGGGTGCGCTGTTGAAGCTGTTCGCGAGAAACTTGAACTTGTTGACCAAGAGGAACACGACTTTCTACGCTCTGAACAGGGACTCTGCAACATATGTGCCTAATGTCACGGCGTTATTGGATATGTTGAGGACGGGGACGATCACGGTGCCAATCAAGTGTGTTTGGGACATGGAGGATATCCAGACTGCGCATCGGCAATGGGGTGGTGGAAGTGGTGTTGGATCTTTGTTGATCAAGGTAGCCAAGAACTAGGGCCTGGCAAGAGGTTATCAGGTGATCTTGTCTTTGTTCACGACTCGGAGTGCGTTTTTGATATTGGGGAGTTTGGGTAGAATCTACAGCCGTAGGTGCGTAAATGACCTCGTTCTTACACAAATTGTGTCTACTTTTATCGGAGAGACCCGTAGAAGCAATTGGATGGGATGGATACTTCCGTACTATGAAAACCATCATTAAGCTTGTCAAAATGGAAATATTCGCCTCCATTCGCAACCTTCCGTTGGGAGAAGGTTTCGGCGCACCCACGTAGTGCCCGGCCCTCCACTATCCGGATTTCGGCCCCGCCATCTTGGTTTACGTTCGACTGATGTCGCAATTCAAAACAGTCAAGATAGGCAAGATCCGGTAGAGCCGGTATTGGATTTATAATACAAGTTCTGGTATTTGTAGAAGGATCCTGAAGGGAAAAACTAAAGTGAACATTGAAGGTCTGAGATCATCATCTTCAAGTCCACTGGTTCTCGGGAAGAACTTCCGAGGTCCGCCAGATTGCAGCCACTGTATTATAACATCAGCATGGCTTACTCTAATCCCCAAGTTACGATGTCCAGGAACAAGGCTGCTTGGCTCACACGTGCAAAGACGTACCCACTCAAGGTCGACGATGCCCCATTCCCGACTGCCGGACCCGGTGAGGTTGTCATCAAAAACGTCGTGACTGCTCTGGTAAGCAATATGTCTCACTTACGTCTATTGCTACTGAGGATCTTTCTCTAACATCCTAGCAATAGAATCCTGCCGAATGGAAGATCCAGTAGGTAATCCGTACGAGTCAAATTAGGATAATGATGCCTGACATCGCTCAGAGATATGGGCATCATTGTGCAGAATTATCCCACCATTCTTGGGGCAGACGCAGCAGGCTTCATCGAAGAGGTTGGCGACGGCGTGACACATGTCAAGAGTGGACAGCGGGTCATAGGGTGCGCCATCATCCCCTGTCTATAAATGCGTTGCCCCCGGCGAGACTAACCTACCTAAATCATTTGGTCTACTGTCAGTCAATCTTCACTAACACCATGGGTAGGTACTGTACCGGGCTAGGCAAGCAGAACCACGAATTTGGAACATTTCAGCTCTACAGTAAAGCAGACGCGAATCTCATCTCACCCATCCCAGATGACATGAGCTTCGAAAGCGCCTCAGTCCTACCTCTCGCCATCGCAACAGCCGCGGTAGGACTCTACAAGAAGCAGCATCTCGGCCTACCCCTGCCATCTCTCAACACTCGCCGAACGGGCAAGACGATCCTCATATGGGGCGGTGCATCGTCCGTAGGAGGCACCGCAGTGCAGTTGGCCGTTGCATCAGGGCTCAGAGTCGTTACCACGGCTTCACAGCGCAACTTTGACAAGGTATTGGAGCTGGGCGCCGAGGTGGTTCTGGATTACCACTCTGATACTCTTGTCCACGACGCGCTGAAGGCGTTGTCTGGGGCAGATCTTGTCGGCGTGTACGACGCGATCTCGGGCCCAGAGTCGTTGAGCCCCATTGGTGCTATCTTGGATCAAATTGAGCGACGCAGGGTCACTGTTGTGTTACCAACGGAGGGCGACTATGGGAAGAACGTAGAGATAAGCATGAGTAAGTTGGCTCCGAATGCCATGGTGAACGAATGCTGATCTTTTTGCAGTGACTGCCTATCAGATAACACAGGATGCAGAGGAAGTGCAGAATCCCGTGTGGAGAGACTTTGTCCCTGATGCTCTTAGGAATGGCCAGCTGAAGCCGAAGCCAGACGCCGAGGTCGTTGGCAAGGGACTCGAGTCGATCCAAGCGGGACTTGATGTGTTGAAGCAGGGCGTATCTGCTAAGAAGTTGGTGATTCAGCTCTGAGACTACTCACATGCAAAAGTAGTTATTGGCCTGTTCTTGTTTTACTTATCTGCATGAAGAGCTTTGGCGGCCACAAGCAGCTTCATGCAAGATGCAATTGAGTTGATCTCATCTTTCTCCCCTGAAACATGAAGGTTGGCACTAGTGCAAAGGCATGAAATTGTTCAGAGGAAAGAAACATGTATCCCTTTTAATTCCTGGTTTCACATGTGAATAAGCAACGCAGAAGATGAATCAGTTGGTGTTCCGATCTGCTTCTGTTGTGGATGAAGAGAGACCTTGATGACTTTCCTCATCGTGCTCACCTTGATTGCCGCCCTCGGTGAGGGTCAGGTGAACAGGTGTGTCAGATGGGAATAGCGACGGCGGGATTGGCTCGGTCGACGCCGATCTTGAAGACAAGCTATGAAAACAAGTGGAGACGGAGCGGAGGGACGGACTTCGGGGTGGGAGATGATCCATGTCATCAGTACATGGCACGTGCCTGCACCAAATGCAGCCAATTGTGGAGGGGGAGCCGTGCGTGCTTGCCCCGCCATGGAGCCATTCCGCATGTCGCAGCTGCAGCAGGCAGGCAGCTCCCACTTTGGTGCTTTCCCATGCTGACAGTCAGGTTCCAGGCGCAGGCGCACTTTCTCCGAAGCAGCCGGCACACCGCACACCGTCAGACGATGACATACCACCGCAGTACGTACCGCGAACCCCTCCATCCTCCAGATTCGGCCCAAAACCAAGGCCAAGGCCGTGAGCTGGCTGCGCTCGGCCGATGCTGCAGACTCAAACCAGTTACCAGACCAGACCAGACAAGACACCGGACC